ATCTGAGTGCTGAATTATTTTTCAGTTAATTTGCTGTTATGCAACGAAGTATTGCGGCTGTACACAACGGGAATTCTATAAATGTATTTTGGAACACGATGCATCCTTGCTAGTCAGTGGAGAATATAAAAATACCAATACTTCTAGCCTGAAGCATTTTATCAACTCTGGAAATCAGATATATCTGTTTGACTGCTTCAAAGGGAGAGAATTTTGAATGGCCTATTTATACATAGAGAAATTAAATTGTCATATTTCTAATAGATCTATTTACATATTTTTTTACATTCGGACTGATTAGATTGTTTCCCCCCACTTATTATGTTATACTAACCTAATTATCAATATGTGTCTGGTTTTATAAATTCCCCCTTTGGAATGTACATTGCAGTTATACAGCTTTTGATTGAAAGTGGTTTGTCGAAAAGAAAAGTTACTTCGTTCTTCCTTCTTTTATTTAAAACTAATATATAGAGCATTAAGAACTGAATAATACAATGACTTTTATGGGTATTATTATTCCTTTAGGTTCTGAGTCGCACATACAGCTTCAACAGCACATCCCGCATTTCACCATCTTCACTGCAGTAGTCATTATCTGCCTCCATGATAGCCATCATAAGCTTTCATCTCCTCTTCAAATGAACTCCTCCATGTCAAAATTAGACGCCGAACTCATTGTTTTCTATTCAGGATCCACTCGTAGGTCTACCGAGTGACGTTGGGCAGTAGATTTTTGATTGGTTTATTGCCAAAGTTCCTTAATGCTAACCGTTTCTCGTCATCTAGTCTTTAGTGTGGGACGAAGATGACCGTTAATAAAAGTCTGAAGCCTGCTCGGAATGCCTTTTGTGATTCAAGCGCCATGTCGCTGAATCATACCTGAGAACTGACTTGATATTAGTGTTGAAAATCCGAATCTTATACTTTATGGTATGTGCAGTAGATTTCCAGAGTTACGGATAAATTTCTCACAATTAGTGCGTAAACTATCACAGTTATAATCAGAGAAATATCTATAACTAGCATAAGCAAACTATACACAAAACAACCCCGATGGGGTAGTAAGTACGTACTTCTGAAAAATCTAAAACTGGGACGAAACAACTGTCTAGCAATCCGTAGTTGTACTAGTCCTCTGAATATTGTTAGTTTGATCACTGTTTTGAAAGTCAAGAGGCCCCTGGAAACCATCTGACTTACTGACTGCTTTCAACGTAGGACTTTCTACAGATGTGCAGCAGTTCTAGTTGCCACACTCCATGTAGCACACAAAACAAAAGAAGAGAGTAAAGAGAAATTAAAAAGAGAGAGAGAGATAATAAACAGAAGTGTGAGGGAAAAAGAATAGTAACATGGAAGAACAGTACAGCTTTATTGGACATTATAAGCCACAAGGAGTGTGTGTGCATCTGCGCCAGCCATTGAGAACGATTTTGAGCCAATTCACCATATTTCTCTAGCCCTCATTGGTTTTTACCATCCTAAGGACCCAGCCAGTCAGAAACTCTACGTCTCCCTAAGTGACTAACTTAAACTAACTGTTCTGATGAAGCCATGTTTTGGTTTGACTACCACTAGCTAACTCTTTTCCAACCTGATCCATCCCATGTCAGCTAACATTGCCAGTCGGTTGAGGATGATGATGGCTAGACATACCTACGTGAAACAGTTTCTGACCATGTCATTTGATGTAAGTTCACAGCCTCATCGATTGATTTCCCCTCCTTACCTAGCATTTGACCGAAGCCTAACCTCAATATTACTCACTCTATTGCACATACCACCTAACATGGGAGATAGAACGCAGACACCTGTATTAAGAGACAGTTAGCCTATTCATGTCTCCTACTCCCAATAGCCAGGCCTCACAGCCATAAAGGAGGACGGAACGGACTGCTGAGCAGTAAACACGCCCTGTAGTCAACAGCCAGCTGTATATCACGCCTACTCCAGAGATAGCGTAAACTGGCATATGCCTAACGAGACTTCTGTATCCGTGCTGACATTATGGCTCCATATTTCTCGTAGGTTGTCTCACTTATCGTTCGCCTTTCACCACCTAATTCCCTGATAAGTCTATGTTGTTGTCTGGCATTACCTATCACCAATGCCTTTTTTATCTCTTTTTCTTTTGTCGCCCACCACTGTTCACGGTCGTTACGAAGGCTTCTTGTTAGTTTGCGCTTGAGTACCTTTCGCTCCTCTTCATAATCGGAGCTTGCCGGAATCAGTCTTCTTGCATCAATCAGTTCGGTTGAGGTGGTAGAAATCCAATGGCTCTTACTAACTTTAGGTTTCAGGCTGTGTCTACAGGTATCTGTATGTTGTGGCAGGCTACCTCAGGGGAAGTCGTGCTGTCGACATCAGATACTCGTCTCGATATTTCTTACTTGAATAGGGAGAGATTCAAAGTCTCGACCTAGTTGGGGATGCAGCTGCTTCGCTGCCGTCAATTTTTTATGTCCGTTGAATCATAAGCATAAAAGTGGGCGAACCAGAGCATGATCAAAGTCGACGCACGTATTCCTAAAGGAGCGGCAGTCTTTTACTTAACCTCGCCAACGATATCCTATCACTATGTGGTCTATCTGAATCCAACGTTAATTTGGTGATACAGGTCACCAGGTTTTGCAGTGTCTCTCGTTTTGCCTAAAGTCGGCACTGACTAGGAACAGACGATTATCTGAGCAAAACTGTAGAAGACGATCACTGTTGTCAGTTCGCCAACAGGAAATTCCATAAGTACCACCTACATACTTCTCAATCTGGCACAACTTTCCTACTTGGGCATTGAAGTTGACTGCTAAGACAATTATATCTGAGCGTTTTGTTTTTTGCAGGGATTTAGACAGTTTCAGTTAGAAATCATTCTTCAGTTCATCTGAACTGCATTCGGTTGGAGAGTGAGTGGGGTCTATGGAAAGATAACGACGTGTAAAGCCGTCTTCCTTCCTCTAAAGAAATCGTTCAGATGGATTGCACACATACGAGTATCTACTGGGATCTAGTCAAGAAGTGATTTTTCCGCCCTAACACGCAGAACTATCCCTACACCTTCGAGTCCTCACGAACTAGCTGAGAGGTCTCCTGATACCCTTAAAGTGAATTTCACAGATTCACCTTGTTGGCCTGGTGAGGTTAAGTGAATGATCACACTCCGGTCATGTATGCGAGTCTCTGAAACACAACATGCATCCATGGCACGAGATGCCAGAGTTCTTGCTGATGATGCCTGTTGTCCAATTTGGCAGAAGGTCCTGACGTTAAATGCTCCTATATGAAGTTGGCGACGTGGCTTTAAGAGGCTATCTGGAGTGTTTCCATCGTTCTCATCGTTGTTTGTGGTCACAGAGTGAAGTGAAGATGACTCACTAGCCTGCAGAATAGTACTAACTGTAGTAGGGAAGCAAGATGAGGAAGGTGATATGAGTTAAGGAGAATGATGCTCGGGGAGGCTCCGTGTGCTCTTGGAAGTGTTTGGGCGGTTGTTACTTACCGAATTCCCACACTGTGGAAGTTGACCGATTCTTCGGGTACCTGAAACAGAAAAAGCGTTAGTGTTGCGTGACCACAGAGCCGAAGGGACAACTGTTTGAGGCCGGTCACACATGGTCTGTGTGAACTGGCCTCTGGGATTGGTTCCGTATTAGCAACTTACCGCCGGCTACGGATCACTGTTGAATAAGTCGGGATGCACAATTTTTGGGGTCGACTTTTTCTAAGCCCCTACTTTCAGAGTGGAGAGACAGTATAGCCGGTCATCTGACGGAAACACCTCACTGCTGTTACATCCCTACTCGCCAGCAGTACGACTCTGTCCACAGAACCCCAGCATAGTGTAAAAAATATCCTTACATCATGATGGTAATTGCTTTTAGTCTAATCACTATCTTAACATACTTCGTAGCATGGTAGGACCTGCAGGGACATTAGTTCCAGCCAGTGTAGCTTATTGGGTCATTGAGATATGCAAGCCCAACCAGCATGTCAAGGTAGCAGCCATCGGTCGAGTTGAAAACAATCACTCGAAAATTAATCCGATTTTCACTAGTGACTGACTGCAGTATGGAGTCTCTGGAGCTCTACTAAGAAGTGAGAATTTATCCATACGATTCCCTATAATCATTAGGACCAAAGAAAAACAGTTATAGGCCTAATGACGAGTCACGTCACAAATTGACAGCTGTTGGAATTCATGAGCCATTGGGCAGGATCCCAGTAGTTAGCTGGATGGTCAACGAACTTGCCTTGTAACCAGTAGGTCCTGGTTTCGAATCCCACACCAGGTGACTACTGCTGAATATATTCCCAAACAAGGATGAAACAACTGTCCAATATTCCCTGGTTCTCTAACTAGAGTAAAAGCTGATAATCAAACCTGTAGCATCCACAAATAACCCTGAAAACGAACACTTGAAAACAAAAAACAAAACAAAAAAAGACACAATTCACTTTGATCAATGTTCAATGAGATTAAATTATATGGAATTATTACAACTCTTGTTGAACAGTCTTTTTTACCAATCAGTTAAAAATAGAAAGGAGACAAATGAGAGACAAATTGGGTATACAAAAAAAAATAATTAACTTTCCTAATTAACTAAATTCAATTTTTACAAGATTCAATCAAACATACAAGAGTATGCATTGCAATCAACAGCCGTACACACAAACACACACATACACACACAGTCAGAGGTATTATTCAGTTTTCTGTTACAGATATTACTTTATGTTAAATACAAAAGGACAGTAATATTAATAGTAATAAGTAAGAATAGTATTATGAGTAAACAAGAAGCATTCAGTAAGTTTTCGTGTCATGGAAGAAAATACGATGGGGAAGGGGGGTGGTGAGGGGCAGGAAGGACAGAACTACTCTGTGATTATGTATATTCACTCACTACAAAAATGGAAAGAATATAGGAAATTGACACAAAACTAGAAAGACATTGAAAGAAAAAACGGAAATTAGTCGTAATAATAATGATGGCAGTAATAATAATAATAATAATAATAATTATTATAATTACAAAGAATTATAATCCGATTGTCACAGTAACATACACAATCGAAACAAATTTTATCCTGTTGCATATTTTTCAATATGGTATGTGATTGGCGGAAAGTTATGATGACGCTGATGATGTAATCAAACGTCGACGAATACATGATTCACTTATGTCAACGATATCTATTCAAAGTTAAACATGGAGATAATACTTCATTAGTAATAAGAAAATAATAGATATGAAAACATATAATAAGTCTTTATTATATATACAAAACTTTTTGTATTTCCCAACGAACGAAAAGTAAAACGATACTGTTGTTTTTACTGACGTTTCGTTATAAGGTTCCTGGATTACATCATAAACTGATATCAGTTACAGGACCATTGGGAAACCTGCAGGGGGTACTAGACAGCTGTTTAGTCCTGATTCGGGGATCTTCAACAGCATACATCCATCGCCAGGGTTCGAACCTATGACCTGGTTGTAAGGCGAGCTCATAGACTATTAAGCCACTGGGACCTGGTTCAATGGCCCATGAATTCCAACTTCTACCAATTCACGACAGCGCGACCGCTAGCCAGTTTCGCTGTTTAATTTAATGCTGCTAATAGCTTTATCAAAGTAGTTATATTAAAGCAGAATTTACAAAATCTTAGCTTATATATATATATACATTTAAAGCAACTTAGTCATCGTTCATCAGCATGGCGTCATTTTTGCGTTGTCAAGTTAGTCAATTGGGGAAGAAAACAAAACCAGGTGTAGATTGTTGGATTTGAAAAGCGCATAAAATTATCAAAGCAACATGTGTTTATATGATGAAATTATCATTATTATTATTGTTCTTTTGGGTTCCTAGTGGAACATAGGGCTTCAACTGCACGTCTCTACTTGCTTCTGTCTTTTGCTGTACTTTTCACCTGCATTCATCTTAGTCCATACTCTTTCAACTCCTCTTCACACCATCTCCTCCATGTCACCCTTGTACTGACGTCCCATTCGCCGCTTCTCTTTCGGGTCTCACTCAAGCAATGGCCTGACGCGAGATGCCACCAACTGGCCTCCTCAGCGAGTGAGTGTCCAATCCATCTCCACTTTCTCCTGCATATTTGTTGGGCGATTGGTTCTTGCTTTGTTTGTTCCCATACTTTCTTGTTGGTGATTCTTTCCGGCCCGGCCATCTGATCTTCAGTATAGAGCCAGAGAAGGCAGTTGTTAATAAAGGTCTGCAACAGGCTGTTGGGAATATTCTTTGTGACCCGCCCACCAAGTTTCTGATCCGTATAGAAGAACTGACTGACTTGACGTTTGTATTGAAAATCCGACGGGATTTTGTTGTTGATGCTGAGTGACGAAGATTTTCAGATTGATTTCAGGTTGATGAATGTGTTTCTCGCCTTCCCGATTCTCGCTCGATTCAACATCCTCGTCCGTTCCGACTTCTTGTAGCTGAGACAATGCTCCCTAGATAAGTGAATGAAGTAACCTCTTTCAGATCCCTCCCGTTGATGGTGATTGACGCTAGATGTTGCTGTTGTTTTTGTTGGTTGGCTGATAATTTTCATAACCTCCGTCTTGTCTATATTCAATTGGACTCCTGTCTTCTCTGGTTGCTTCTTCGACCAGTTTGTCGGTTTTCGCTTGTAATTCTTCGATTTTGTGTGACATCAAATATAAATCATCCGCGAAATCCAGGTCTTCTAGGTTCTTCATGTCGGTCCATTTGTCACTTCATGAGGGACGGGGATGTTGTAACCATGTCAAATTCTGTTTAATTCCATCATTCCTATTCAAGACAATTTGGATTGTATTTGATATGAAGTGCATCTGATACTAGACGTTCTTTGCGATTTCTGAAATTTCTCTGGATGATGATTTCAATATTGTCAAAATCTATTTTGTGACCTGATTCTGTAGCGTGTAGACCATTTATGGTTTATGATTTTTCAAACTTTTTTATTTCAACTGAACTCCTCAGTGAACAAATAGATACTCTACGACATGAATTGCTTCTAATCGTGATTTCTTTTGAGTTTTGATCTCTGTTTGTCGCATCACATTTCAAGAATTTTATTTTTTGGATACAGTAAGATTGTGAACCCTATGGAATTCGGTCTTTTAGGTAGGGAAGGTTGCTTTCTAGTGTGTCTGATGTTTTAAAGGTAACTCTGATGTCAGTAAAAGCAGCAATATCGTTTTGTTTTTCATTCATTGAGAAATACCAAAACTTTTATAATAATGATTAGCATATAATCAATGCTCAAATTTTTCTAAACGATTAAAAGTGGACTTGGTTCGCACATATATAAAATAATAATATATGGGTAAAACTTGGGCACAGTAGTGGTATGTAATTTCATATTAGTTTGTTTATTAGATATATCACACAGTGAAACAGTATTATATATTTACTGGAATACGAGGTTTCGAACACAACTTATTATTGTTCATAATCACTTCATCAATTATAATCACACGACTTTGAAACTTCGGTTTTATAGTTTTCTTTATTCTCTCTTATTTATCGTGTGAGGTAGTAGAATCTTCCAGATGTCCGGCTGGACAGGTGTTGAATCATTCCCATTACACGTGTTTGCAATTGAAACTTTACGGAAGGCATTGAAATTCAAACTAAGTCGAATGATAAATATCATTGGATTATGTCTTTTTCTGATCTTTCTTGGTCTTCACATAATGTGTTGATTGCTAGAAAGCTATTTTGTCTAATCTTTTAAGTAAGCAAGTTAAACTACTCTGGTATCACTTTTCCAGATTATTATTTCTTGCATTCTACCTATTCTTCTTCAACGTTCCCCCCTTAAGGTTTCCTTAGATATTTAAAGTTACTTTGTTACACTTCGAAAAGCATTAAAAGCTGTGGGTAGGGAGGGTAGGTTGTTTTGATTGAGCACTAGTAACTAGTGTGATGTGTCTAGTACTTTCTTTGGTGCAGACGACATTCTATCAGTCAGGTTTTAATGTGGCCAGAAGCGACATGGGCTCCTTCAGAGTTGCAGATACACCTTGCTGACAAGTGCTAACTAGCACGAAACGTAGGTCCAAGGCTTCCTTTGGCCGACTGCCTCCAGCCATCTAATATCATTAAATCAATTTACATCGTGATGGGGAGCTACCTAGAATGGTGGCCACATTACAAACCTGACTGACTGATAGAATTCAGTCTACACCAAAGAAAAGACTAGACACATTTCACCGGTTACTAGTGTCCAATCAAAATATCCCCTACAGTCCTACAGGAGGTCAATTGCGAGCCCGAATAGCTCAGTGGTAACGTCTCAGACTGCAGCACTGGTTGACGCGGGTTCGTATCTCAGAAGAGACATGAGTTCTCTCAAGGTTGCATGTACGCCTTCCTGACAGGTGAGTGCCAAATAGCACGAACCCTAGGTCTAAGGCTCCCTAGCGATTGCCTCCAACCATTTAATATCATCAACAGTAGGTTGTTGTTAAAAAAATTTGTGCATGTTGCAGTGAAGGGACACTTAAACGTAGACAAGAAATCGATGGACATCATCTAGTCGAAATTTGATCACCCTCTTTATACGCAAATCTCACCTTTTGTTTTCATCATCAGGTAGGACTCAAAGCAATTACAAAAGATTTGATGTTAGGACGATTATGTATTTTAAAAAATAATACACAACGATATCATATCAGGTGCGCATTTTCAGTGGCTAGAAAAATGTTAGGGATGAAACTACTAACTTACAGCAAAACAGCAAATAAACGGCCCTTTTTTTATTCATTCTTTCACTAATAAATTAGTGTCACCATTTTCCGTTTATTTTACATTTATATTCTAATTGACAATATAATTAATATAAAGTTCCTATTAATTATATTTTGTCTTATTATGTGATGTGAAGACTAGATTAGATGCAATGTTGTACTCTATGGCGAGGATTGAACAATATATCAAATCTACTGATTCCGACAAAGCTAGTATTATTAATATTAACTAATTTAACGACTGTTGGGCTATCTGATGTGAGTCAAACTGGGTACACCACTGGCAAGTTCAGCGCCGATTGGCTGAAACAACCATCCGGTGTTTAGATTATCGTGATCTAGCTGACTACTACTGGATGATATGAGTAGTATGCAACTACTCAAATTAATTAATCCGTAGTATATATTATAGGTAAGAATGCTGACTTTGAATAACGAATGTAGTTGATTTCGACACTCCACCTAATTACCGAATATAAAATGATTTATCTACCATGACTTTAGCCGTATTGAGTTGACAGCTCGTTTACCTCTCATTCATCTGTACTACTTTTGGAGTAGACAAGTAAACAGATTGATGAAATTCATAACACACAAACACGTGCTTATGCATTATGTTGTAATTCGTGACTACTAAACATTGACAGTGAAGGTGAATTTCTGAAAACTGCAAATATCTCATCAGTGTTACGCATGCAGCAGTGAGAGCATTTTGATGGGACTTTCATGTGATCAAATCAAAAACTTAGAGCAAATTCTTAAGTAAGACAAAATCCTGACACCTAAAATGACTGAGGCATGTGTCAGATAGTCCAACTTTGAGGTCCTTTATTAATGGAAACAAGTTAAGGCTAGAGAAATTATAAATAGGACTGCACTAAATTCTCAGCTGTTGTCTCGAGGTGTCTAAGAATGTTCATCTTGTACATAGTTCAGGTTTTGAGTGAAAAAGATAACCAGTGATTTCAGGTTTTAATTGAAAGGTGAAAATAAGTCAAGGGGATATAAATATGATCATCTTAGCTTCATACATTTTTATTTTAAAATATAAGATACGGTAACTTTGATCGTTAGGTAAAAGTGATTAATTGTGTGTTGTTGATATTTATCGGTTGATACGAATGAATGCACACCCAAGTATGTCAAATAGTCAATTTACAAATTAATTTTCAATTTACACAATTCAAGGTGAGATTTCACCTCAGTTTCCTTTGGAAACCCAGATTATTCACATCACAATATTATGAGATGAGCTCGACCCTAAATGAGTGTATCAGCCATCCGGTGTTTAGATCACTTCGATCTGGCTGGCAAACACTATTATTTGATGTGAGTAGTATACAACTACTCATCTCAATCAACAAGTAGTATATAATTGAATATCAAGTATCCTGATAATATCAAGCGAAAACTCCAGGTGACTGAAGTAAAATTTAGAGCTATTCAATAGCTAGATCTTCCAATCTAATCACTGTTCGCATCCGATTTAAATCGATTCATCAACCAGGATCTCGTTTTAATAACATTCACCACCTCACAGATAAGCAGAAACCAGATGAGTTTGATTTATTTATATTGTAATTTTCAAGTATTGGTTTTGCAGGGAGTTTGTTTGATTGCATAGAGGATTTCATCATGAGCTGACATCAGTCAGATAACCATTAGAAAACCTGTAGGGAGTGCAGGACAGATGCTTCGCCATAGTCTGGGACTCTTCACAGTACACACCAACTGCCAGGGTTCGAAAACAGGATCTTCTGGTTACAAGACGAGCCAGTTCATAGACCATTAAGCCACTGGGACCCGATCCAATGACCAGCCCGTGAATTCTAACTTCTGTCAATTCATGACATAGCGCGACCACTTCGGAATATTTTCTTCGATGAGTTACTGCCTCACCTTCAACCTGCTGTGTAGCCTACTGGTAATGGCTTCCCACTAGAACTCAAGGTAACTGCCTGGGCTGAATAGGGTCAGTCGCTAGCGAGCATCAGATTAATTTTTAAGTATTGGTTTTGTACACAACGCAGTGGGCGCGTACTGATGAAGAGTCAAAAACTGGGACGAGACAGCTGTCCATTACTCCCTGCAGGTTTTCCAATGGTTCTCTAACTGATGTCAGCTCATGATGAAATCCTCCAACCGATTCTATTTTAATTGTCAAGAATGTCTGAGGCGAGCCTTTTTTTATTTTTAACGTACGTTTTAATCATATTACTACTTGAATTTTCAAATTCCACTACAATAAATTATGCTTACAGACTTATAAAGTATTGAACCCTTATTTACAGAAGATTTAACTACATTACATATATAGGGGAGTTTTGAACGGACTATATTGGTGAAAGTTCTATTTCCAAACTATGCCTGATAGATAATATTAAATCAGAAGTTGTGACTTTATGGTGAAAAGACTAGTGAACAGCCTGGCACTATCCTTTAAAAGGGTAATTTCTCTAGATAATCAGCAGTAAAAAAAAACTCACAGATATTTAATAAAATTAATACAAAACTAACCTATTTCATTGTCATTAGCAAATGTATCCTGCTCCTCAGGTATCTGTACATCTTCCATCGGTTGAGAAGTACGAGAGTTACATTCAACCTCATCTTCGCCATTAATGTTTCCATCCTCTTCCTCTACACTTCCTAAATCTTCATTTTCATCATCGATTGGGGAGTACTGTTTCTCAGCTGACAGATTTTTGTCAGTTACTACATCGGCGTAGTTTTCTTCACCTATTTCAGGCTCTTCCATTGGACCATGTAATGCATCTTCAGCTGATTGCATTGCCTTCAATATTCGAGTCATTTCTCTTTCGGTCTGTTCAAGTCTAATGCGTAGATGAGATAACTCTTCTGTATCTAAAATTTCCAATATAGACAAACAGAGATTTTTTTTATTTTTTTATTTTGATTACAGCTTGATTCCACACCGTATTTTTGGTACACATATGGAATTTTCAGCGTGGATATCGGTAGCCCAAATTTCGCAGGCCGACCATAGATATCAGGTGTGCGTCGGCGAGGGCTCGAACCCCGGACCATGTGCATGGTCGGCGAGAATCCTAACCACTGTGCCACCGACAAAGATCCTAAATAACTACCTTTAAATATATAATAAAAGATCCGGTTCAGAATAGATGGATAACTGGGGCTACAAAAATTAAATATGCTATACACGTTTAGCAATAAAATTCATTGTTGATATCCTGTCTGTAGATATTACAGAACTAGAAGAAAAAATAACACCAAAGTCATAAAAATCAATGCAAATATTATCATGAAAGCATAACACTGTGTTCTAAAACTTTTTCGCGAATTGCATTTCGATGAGTATACGTGTGGTAAGAGCAGACTGCTAGCCAAATTGGTAGACAATAATTTACGTCAATGTTTATGTCCCCAATATTGGTCGTAAGAAAATATGAACAAAGACTGATTCAACAACCAACCACAGCTGACTTTGCGTAGGCGGATACAGTTAACATATAGATTATCTGACATTCAAGAAACAGTCACAAAGAGATGCAAGGTTAACTTTCTGTGAGAAACAACCAATCAGAAGACTGTGTTTGTCTGCTTGAATAGGCTATAATAATGTACATGAAAATATATAAATATGTGTTGGCTTCCTTAATAAACGATCTGTTGCCTGGCCCTCGTCTTCTGTTGTTACCTACGGACATATCTAAAATTCAAAAAAACTAACAATCCATTACTTCTAAAATTGTCTATCTGTCTGTTTTCGACACAGAACTTTGCACCGATGTACAGCAGTTACAGTCGCCACACTCCCTCCTTATAGCACACAAATCAAGAGAAGAAAGTAGAAGAAATGCACAATAGAGACAGTAGACAGGGATATGAGAAAAAAGGAATACTAATAACGAAGAACAATATAGTTTCATTGGAAATTATATGTCACAAGGAGTGGATGCATCTGCACCAGCCATTGAGAACGATGAGTTTGAGCTATATCACCAATTATCTCCAGCCTGCATTGGTTTTTTACCGTCTCAAGGACCTCTGTATATCGTTCTTTTATTCATTTCTATGCGTTCCAAATGAAACCTATGACCTTTAAGCTTTGAAGTTTTATTAGTGGTAGTGTTATTTCCACAAGGTGGGCGATGGATAGCCTCAAGCTCAACATTTCCTCTTTTTCCGAGTTTACTATTAACTAGTTAACTAGACGAGGTTTAGGAATGAGTTAGTCGGAAATCGAACTTGAATCAGTTGTAAGCCTGCTGAGCATTCTGTCTTTAAGTCATCGATTCGTGTGTATCATCCTAGTAGAAATAAATTCATGAATAGCCTAAAAAATGATGGATTGTGTGAGTTTTCTTTGAAAGACACACTTGAAACTGTTGACTGATTTATTGATGCCAATGTCAAGGACAAGATTGTGTTCTTATTCGAGGTAAACTCTTTACTTACTGACGAAATTATGACCACAACTACTAGTATTCTTTTTGATTACATATCGACTGGTAATGTTTGCAATTAAAACAATCAACAAAGATTTATGCAGCAGGATTTAATGAACTCGTCAAATTTTGTAAAGTGTTTTGAAACAGCTGAAGTCGATGTGACAAAAATTTCAACAACAGAGCATCTTGTAGACTATGGGGACATGATATTGACGTGTTGTGAAGGCCTTCACTATTATCAGCAGATAAAGAAATGGGGAGATGCTTGGGACTTTGGAGGTCTGAGCAATTAGAATTTGTAAACTAGAGGTATCTGCGTACAGAGACAGGAATGATGGTCTCGCTGAATCTACCATGGTAATTTGTTTTCCTCAATAAATATTATTATTATTGTATCCTTTAGTTCCTAGAGGAACATAGGGCTTCAGCTGAGCACCTCCATTGCCTTCGGTTTTCTGACAACTTTTTCACCCTGCTCCAGGTCTGTCCACATGCTTTCATCTCCTCCTCGCATGACCTCCTCCAAGTCACCCTTGGAAGACCAACTCGCCGCCTCCCTTTCGGGTTCCATTCACAATCGGTTCCTGGTTGGTTCGCTCCCAGAGATCTTTGTTGCTGATCTTTTCTCGCCGGCCATCTGATCTTGAGTATTGAGTGAAGACAGCTGTTAATGAAGGTCTGAAGTTTTTTGGAGATGCTTTGTATGACGCGCAGTGCAAGTCTCTGATCCGTATAGTAGCACTGACTGGATTCAGATTGGAGTTGAAAATCCGGATCTTATTTTTGATGCTGAGTGCTGTTGACCTCCACACAGAAAGCTTGTCTTGCTTTTCCGAATCTGGCTTTGATATCCTCGTCAGTTCCGTCCGCCTGTAGTTGAGACGATGCTTCCCAGGTAGGTGAAGGAGGCTGTTTCTTTCAGGTTCTTCCCACTTATGCTGATTGTTGTCTGTTGTTGTTGTTCATGTTGGCCAGGAGTCTTCATCACCTCTGTTTTATCTTTGTTCACTTGAAGGAAGTTCTATCTTTGATGCCTGTTCTGCCAACTTGTTACTTTTCACTTGCATATCTTCCAGTTTGTGGGAAATCAGACATATATCATCGGCGAAATCCAGATCCTCCAAGTCTTTTGTGTCAGTCCATTTTACGCCTGTTCCCTCGTTGGTTGCCGTTGTCTGTCGTATTATCTAATTAATTGCAATCAGGAAGATCATTGGTGATAGTAGACAACCTTGCCGTAAGTTTCCCGTTGTGGATTACTTGGCATGCAGTATTGTCGTATAACTGTTGGATGAGATGTATAATTAGCGATGACACCCCGTATTAGCGAAGTAGTTGCCAAATCACCTCTCGATCGATGCTGTCAGGTGAAGGCCTTTTCAGAGTCGATGAAGTTGAGATAGAGAGGTGACTGCCATTCCAAGCTTTGTTCAATGATGATCCGTAGAGTGGCGATTCGATCAATACATGATTTGTTCCTCCTGAATCCGGCCTGTTCCGGTCGAAGTTTTTGATCCAGGGCTTGTTTGATTCTCTCCAGGATGATGCGACTTAGTATCTTGCTTGGAATGGACAGAAGCATAATTCCACGCCAGTTTTTACATTGACTTAAGTCTCCTTTCTTTGGTAGTTTGAATAAGTATTCGTTCTTCCAATCCTCGGGTACTTTGCCCTCTTTCCACACCTTCTCCAGCAGTGGCGTCATCAAGTCCGTTTCGTCCTCGGGCGACCAACTCGTCGCTTCCCGTTCGGGTTCTACATTTTTTACTACCGCTTATTCGTATTCCAGGTTCATTACTTAATTCATTTAACATTATTATTATTACTACAGTTATTACCGTCACTAATATTTTGAATATTATTCAGTTCAGAATTCTTGATATATTCAAGGCGTTTCTCTCATAACTAATTGTTTAATTAAGTAGGGTAAATGAACCGTAATGCATTTCATCTTAATTTGAATTTCTCATACTCCCTTCTTATCTATCCGAATGTGACCTGAAATGCATTCACACCTGTCACACTTGTCGTCTTGCAGGACTGATTCAGTGTAGATTATTTATTTATCAGTCACATATCTCCCAATGTAAATATATTGGTATATATATATATATATATCACTGTATGCAGAGTATTCAGCTGAAGAGTTCCGACGAAATTTGATGAATTCACGAAATCCCGCTTTACTAACCTTTGTTGTTTATTTAAAATTCGTATCAGGAAATAAATGTTTCTAGTACTGCATTTCATGTATCTAAAACTTATTTAGGAAAGCTGTGTGTTGTGGGTAACATTTATTTTGATAGAGTTTCACAGTGGTGTTATGCAGTAATATTTACTGATGATAACGTTTTGAGCACAATTTATTACTGCTCATAATCAAATCAAGTTATTCACACAACTTTCTAATTTCGTTTATATAACTCCATTATTTTCCACTGCTTGATTTGATTTGTTAGCTGTATTTTCCATATTTCCGGTATGAGTGATGAATCATGCCTATAATTTATAATTGATAGGATCGTTTTTTATGCGAAACTTATTAGTCGCTTTCATGCCTATTAAAAACATTAATCATTATAGGAGACTATATTAGTCTTACATTTAGGATAAACAACACATAACTTTGACATACTTCTGAGTCAAAGAGAAGATCACAGATCATATAGAAAATCAACGCACACAGATCAAATACTCATCTATACTAGCAATAATCCAATTACTCACAAAAGAAACTGTTCAGACATTGTTTAAAAGAATTCAAACACACTGTAGCACTCCAGAGTTGAAACGAATGGAAGAAAAATACCTGCAAACGGTCTTCAAAAAGAATTATTATCCACAAAATTTCATCAAAAAGCGCTTAAAATCGAATCACAACACCAACAAGGAACTATCATCAAAGACCACAAGAAAATTCATCCTACCATACATGAGAAATATCTCTGAAATAACAGCTAGAATACTGAAACCGTTTGAAATAGATATAGCACACAAGCCAGTCAAATCACTTCATTCGATACTATGCAAACCGAAAGATCCAACAGAAAAAGGAGGTAAAATTAGTACCATTTACAAAATAAATTGTGTGAGCTATAACAGACATTACATCAAGCAAAGTGGGCGTCCCATCGAATTAGAATCCAGGAAAAGACATGATATATATTCTTTATATTAATACATGTAGATAATTATGGACATCAGTTTGATTGGGATAATGTCGAAATCTTGGATAGAGGAAACACCAAAAGTGCCAGGGAATTCCCAGAAGCCTGGTACTCAAACGAATATGCGATTAACAAACATATTAATATAGACCAAATATACCAACTAATAAAAAGTAAATCATGTGACCAGAAAGTTTAAAATCCAAGTCAATAGAAAATGGTTACTGAGAGACGCAATTCTATCACTCATGGAAAAAATTTAAATCAGTTCACTTTATGCTAAAATTGCGCCGAAGATGCTGTCCAGAAGGATGACGAAAGCTCCGCAACTAAACCAACCAGTTTAGAGAACACTAATAATTGCAAATCATGCACCTGAGCAACAAATCTTCTCTATTGTTTCAGAAGATCAGTTTATTAGGGGACTTATTTTACAGCAAGTTTGCTTAGGCATTGGAATTCTTAAATATCCACAGCGTCCCATTCCAGCGTAACACAAACAACACTTGACAGCACACCTGCTTAATAGTGACTTTACCACAGATTAACATATTAGGGCATTTAGTGAAACATATGTAGAAAACAAATATCTTCCAGAGGTGTTGAAGGAATGTATAAGCCAGTCAGTCGCAAAAACCATGCCGACAAGTCTATTCCATACAATAACGAACTTCATATTGAATTGAAAAAGGGCTCATTCTTATACGAAACATGATTTACAGCAGTACACTAGTATGTACAAACTAAGAATTGACCAGTTATAAAATAGCACATGTAACTTCTCGTGCAAAGATATGAAAGTTGGTAATAAATTATCGGCACTAAAAGTGAATATAGTGTGTGCTTCTGTATCAGAAAAGTTTATTTGATAAAACACACAGTGATACAATATTAATAACTGGATATGAAGAGAATCAAAAATCTACAGCTGATCTAATACGCCGGCTTGGAAATCATATCCAGGGAATCACGATGGTTAAACTTAATACCCGAAACTAATAATACTTAGAGAATGTATAGTACTATTAAAATAGATAAAGCAGGACACCCAGTAAATCTGATAGTTGACTTTAGGAACAGCTTAGTATATGAGATACCTAAGTATTTAGCATCCATATTATATTCGATTAGAATCTGAAGCCCCAATAAACAACCTGGTATGGCCGAGAATGAGTAGACTTCGATCTTCCTCTCAAAGTGGTGTCATGTGGCAACGTGTTCGTAGCCTTTCTTAGGTAATTTCTACTTACTGTCTTCACGCGATGATAGTGTTCCTCACGGAATTAAAACTGAGAATACAAAAATCTGGCACTTACAATCGAACTGGCAGACATGCTGGTCTTTCTATGGAAGCCAAACCAGTGTTGTTTTTCTTTTATCATTCCTTTACGTTCCTAGTGGAACATAGGGCTTCAAGCGAGAGACTTGAAGTTTCGGTAGCAGTGATTTTTAATTTTACGGGATGGGGTTGCTAGCTTCATGCCCAACCTCCCCCTCTTTACCGGGATTACTGCCGACCAGGTAAGGTAAAGGAGTGCATCGGTCGGGAATCGAACCACGAGCTATTTGCGTGGTTGGCGAGCATTCTACCGCTGTGCTACCGACGCAAACCGGTGGTGCACATAGGCTTTAGAATACGATAGCGCCGAATGGTTGGCGAACCTGTTTCGTTCACCGGAAACCAGAGGAACGTATCTCCTGATGTTGCTCCACTGCCATGTGAATCAGAATTCAAGTCAAAAACTCAAGGGACGACCATTTTAAACAACCAACTGAGAGTTTGACTTGTATCCCAGACCTTGCACAAAGTATCAGACAGTTTGTGTGGTGCATCTCTTGATTAGTTTAATCAATAATATTCCGGTTAATACCAAACCCTGGAAACAGTCAAGTTAATAAAGCTTTATCACTATATGTTACATCAAATAAACTTATACAATATGGAATTACATTTGATCAGAGTGCCGTCGGTGGCACAGTGGTTAGGACTCTCGCTGACCATGTACATGGTCCAGGGTTCGAGCCCGCACCGACGCACACCTGATATCTATGGTCGGCCTGCAAAATTTGGGCTACCGATATCCATGCTGAAAATTCCATACTTGTACCAAAAATACAGTGTGGAATCAAGCTGTAAATCAAAAAAAAAATTTAAAAAAATTATTCTTACAGAATGTACTAAATAATAGGTCTTTTGATAGCTAATTTACTCACATATATTTTTAAAAATGGAATAAAATGAAACTTACCCAAATCTTGTCGTTCCATTCTCATGAGTAATTTACCCAAATCCTTAGGTAAACTTCTAGCTGACCGATATATATCTGGATATGAAGTATCTTTGAAAACTGAGCCCCATTCAAATGGTTTATTTTTTGAATCTGAATGCGAACAGAAAAGTAATAATCCAATATCAGTTCATTAAAAACAAAATACAAACGAATCACTGTTCGCTTTTAACTTTAGGAGTACATTAACCAGGGATAAAACCCGGACCAACTGCATAATTAATAAGCATTCTGCCTCCGACGCAACAATGACACACTTATTGACTGGGTAATTATACATTGGTTTTCAGGAGAACAGGACGCACTCATTCCAGCCTCTTGCAAGGCCAGAACAGCATGCAAAAATCATCCTTCGGCAAAACCACACGAACAGCCCTGTCCCCCAGTGGACCATTCTCACCATTAATACACATATTGATGTATCAGTAGGCGTAGTTACCCGGATCAATGATAACATCAGTCAGTTATGCAACGCATAGACAAGCCTAGCAGAACCCGTCTCACATACAAGACTAGGTAAAACGCTTTATTATTGGCAAGAGTAGCATGTATAGCAACACTACTGGACACAGATCTCTATAAACGAAGTTAGCATCCAACCAATTAAATGAAATACTCACCCCTGCCAACCAATTCAATATATAAATATCTTCAATACGTCTGTTAAGACCACTGAAAATCACCCACAGTCATATAGGCAAGCTATAAGAACTGTGTAACCCACGCTCAAACCTTCCACATAGCTTCTACCATCGGTTGGAATACATAAATTAGTATCAGTTGACTCATGTTTTGATAACAGTAGATTAAATATCTATCTAAGAACCAACTTTTTCGACTGAACATCATACTTATATGCAGAAGCTTATCAGTTGTTTGAAGTCCGATTCCAATACTCCCTATGCATATTAGTGATACATTCAGAATAGGTGGAAATCAAAATTTTATTACATCGTGGTGTTTAGCTGTCATATACGTTTTTTTTGTTTCTTTTCATTTCGAGTGGAACATAGGACTTCAAGTTTGAACAAATGTGTCGCTTTTATTGTAGAGTGAGGCTGCTAGTCTCACGCCTCATCTTCCCTCATTGCTAGGCTTATCATCAGCTGAAGGAGGATTAAGAGTGCGTCGGCTGGAAATCGGAACCAGATCACGCTTGAGGTTGGTGAGGACTGCATCACTCACTAGTCCACTAATGCACTATTATACACGTAGGAGGCAGCTAAAGAAAACTTGATGAGATAAAATAATAATTTCATATCTTATTACTTTTACCACCAGTTTTAAGTTCAATAAAGTAAATAAAGACACAAATTGCATTTTTGCGTTATTTGACTATAGTAATAAAAAAAATGTCATACAACCTACCAGTAGCTGATTTCCTTGAACTTGAAAAGTCTAAAGTTTGAAATGGATTTCTCTTTCCATCACTGTCTCCATCATCATCGTCATCGTCTGATGAATCACAACCCATACGAAATTTGCCTCGATCAACATCATAATGAAAATCACGGTAATAATGTCGCAGAAATTCTTCCTTCTTATTTGAATTCTTTCGACGTTTCGATGAAAAAACCTAAGCGAATTTTTTCGAAAATGCAGAGACACCTTGAAAAAAATTATCTTTTACTTCATAAATAATTCTTTATAACTACGTTGTTGATTTTACCAGCTAAGTTTGATCAAAAACCAAGTTCCTCTTAATGAGTTAGTTTTCGAAAAATATGCATTCGTATAAGTTGGTTTGTAAAGATCAGATTTGTTTTCACGAGTTTAACCACGGATTGATATCAGTTAGAGAACCATTGAAAACCAGGGCTTACTGGATAGCCAACTGTTTCCTCCTAGTCTAGGAATCAACGCCAATACTCACCTACTGGGGTTTGCACCCGGGACCTTCCGGTTACTAGGCAAGGGCTCGAACCCAAGTAAGTGAGTAATGCCGATGATCCTCAAACTAGGATGAAACAGCTGTCCAATACTCCCAGAATTTCAATGGTTCTCTACTTGATAGCAATCCGTGATCAAACTCGTAAAAACAAAATGTTTAAGTGTTACGTTACATTCATTCTTAAATTGCTTTTTCTCTATGCAAGGAAACACTTATAAAATCAATATATTGCTTTAGTGCAGACTTCATTATGAAGAGGCATTAGTTAGAGAACCACAAAAAATTACAGAGTAATGGACAGTTGTTTCGTCCCAGAGTATGACCCTTCATCAGTGTGCATCTGTAAACTCACCAACGACATAACTCAAAACCTCCAGGTTATACAACTACTACTCTGTCAACCATTCAGCGAGTGAGTTGGAACTGAATAACCCGTATGTCCTAACCTAAGTCAGATAACTAAGACACCCGACGGTCAATCTGGTTAACAAGCATCAACAGCTGTGTAAATAACATAATTTCTTAATACTAAGCTCATACACAACCTTATTATGGTACTATAGGCACTGGTAATCGAAACCGTCTTACTCGAATGGGACGGACTAACAGTAGAACATCGATTTATAAAACTCTATTTACTTTAAAATTCATGCTATGAGAATAAGGATTATATCCAGCTGTGCGATGCTCCTTGGCTCTTGATGATTGCTAAGCTACATTACATATCAATCAAAATATCGCTAAACAGATCAATTTCTCACAAACTACTTAATAAAGAAAAAGAGTAACCGTGGACACGTTCAGCCAGGATAAAAATGAGTCTAGTTTATCTCATGTCGATAGAGACATCAAATTTTAGTTCTACTGAATTACAATTTAAGTCGGTCATAAAACAATCTACAGTATAAAATTATGTGAAAAGAAAACATGGAAATCATCTCACCTTTGAAAGTGTATATACTAAATACAAAATTATACCAATCGCATAAACAGGTAAAACAATCGACATTATACCGCCTCTTTTACCATGATCTTGGTGAACAGACCCCTCCGTTGGTCTGATGGGTGGTCTAGGTGGAAGATGATGACCCTATAAAATTAGCTTCGGCTAAGTAAAATATTAAAACATACACTTGGTCCAAAATTTTCAAAATTGATGTGTTCATCCTTATTTTTACTTTTTGTAAGACCCAGAGTATTCATAATCATTGGGTGAAAAATTTTTGGATAGAGTATAGAGAAGCATGCTATCATAACACCTAATACTAAATAAGTTTGAACGCGAATAGACACTTCCGACATCCTGAATGTGTATTACATCTAAAACAAAGTAGAAATAATAAACAAGTCATTTATTTATGAAGTCTTTACAATAAGTTCAGAAGTTATTTTCCTGAAAAAAACAGCATTTATTGCTCCAATGAATAAAATATTTCTTTTGAATACTGCAAACTTTTAAACAGAAGTATGGTGAAAAAAGTCACTCAGATAGTAATGACTTTTCACTTGAACAAAATGACTTACAGACTACTAATTTTGCGGGAAATCAACCGATTTATGACACAACGAATGCATGTATCTACATTTCCCCATGAATAAATAGACAAAACGGTACCCTTTTCAGCAAACTGACCCAAATTGAACTCGGTTTTATTGAAAACGTACCGGCGAGAAATGACTGGCATGCTATTTACTACAAAACCATTGAGGTAGTAGTAAATTTGTTATTTTTACCGGTTAGTTACGTTATATAAAACTACGTTCCACGTACGGATTCATCCAATGATGTATGTCTGTAGAGTTCAAACCCAATGTCCGTCAAAATATACTTATTTTAAGTATTTTGTAACTCAAGTAATAAGTGATTTGTCACTAACAATAGGTTTACCGTATGTTCGCCACACAAGAGAGACAAATAACTTAAGAAGAGCCATAAAACAAATGATCTGAAGGCCTTCTCCCCAGTGTCTGAAGAAACTAAATTTACTACAAAAAATGTACTTTCAATATGAAGCCAAATTAGGTTAGTTACTCTCTCTTTATAGGAACAAAATCATTGCTTAAAAATCAGGTAGAAAACTTAATAGAAACAAAATTTTTTATAGGACCGAACATCAGTTTTATTAAATTTACTTCCTATTAGAATTATTATAACTTCAGGTTGAAAGAGAGAGACAGTAGGTACCCTGTCAGATTGAAAATTTATCGTTGAAACACTACACTGTCTGCAAATATAAACCAATCTGATAGTAATTTCTGCAATTACTACTATGTTTTCAAAACCAGATGCAGCTATATACTAATGCACACTCACATGTAAGATTGAAATTAATAAAAGAATATAGTATTTTGATTGGATATAAGTTCGCAACTAGCGTAATGTATCCAGTCCTTTGTTAAGCGCAATGTGACCACCAAGCTAGGTGGCTTGACATCATGGTGCTCTGTGAATTGTTGAAATTAGTTGCTTGGCGGATAAGCACTGGTTACATCAGATTCCGTTGACGTCGACCAAAAAATCGTGCTGAATTGCCTAATGAAACTAGATGCAGGGAAATAAACGGGTCCTGATAATCTTCATCAAGAGCTTCTCAAGGAGCTATCAGCTCACACAGCCAGCCTACTGACTAACATCTTTAAGCTATCCCCCCTAAATGGAGTGTTACCGCAAGACTAAAAAGATGATATGGTACCCCCCCTGTCCACAAAGCAGGATAAAGACAATGCCGTTCAAACCACAGGCGTATTAGTCTCACCAGCACTTTAATCAAGACAGTGGAGAGAAACACTAAGAAAAGTATCATGGGATATATGGAAAATAACAATTTGTTATCCAGAGCACAGCATGGCTTCCGAGGTTATCTCTTTTGCCTGTCGAATCTCACTGCGACAGAAATCTGGGTCAAGTGAAAAGACAAAAGCAGACAAGTCGACTTCATCGCCATAAACTTCAGCAAAGTCTTCAATAAAGTTCCTCAAAAAGACTTTTCACGAAATTGGAATTTCTTGAGATCAAAAACAGCATACTAAACTGGATTATGGAATTCCTCATAGACAGGAGACAGAGGGTCACAATCAACTCAAAACTCTCCTCCTGGACAGCAGTTTGTAGCAGAGTGCCACAAGGCACGGTACTCGAGCCTCCTCCTAATTATTCTGTATATCGCTGCGTCATCTCTGCCCACCGATTTCCCTGTGGTCCTACACTCAGATGACTTAAAAATTTGGAGAGAGCTGAAGGGCGACAGTGATATGCTCACGTTGCGAGAAGACCTCAACTAAATGTTAGATTGCTTCAAAGAATGGATACTTGAGATCAGTGTAGCGAAACGTGCAACCATGTGTACTGGACTCGCAATCGCCAGCTACGACGAACTAGAGGTAATAAAACTTCCATCAGTTCAGACTCAGTTAGATTTAGGTGTCATAGTAAGTCAGGATTAAAAAACTACAGCACACTGTCACTCAGTGGATGAACGCAGTTTCAGATCCATATGCTCTATCCGCACAGCCTTTACTATTATCACCAGAGATATGTTCACTTCCTTATATATATATATATATATATATATATATATATATATATCTGATGAGGTCAAGACTGTAAAACTGTATCCCATGTCTTAAATGGGACTCACATATAGAGAAATGGTCAAAGAAAGGCAAAAAGGAATGATTCTGGGCATGACTAAATTATCATACGAGAAAAGACTATATAGTTTGAATCTCTTCTCCGTCATATCGTAGGCAAAAAGCAAACTTAATTACAATGTATAAAATTCTAAATCATCATAAAGGACTTGAAATATTTTACTTATTACTTCTTACAAGGTCCGAAGACCTAGAGGACAAAGAGGCAGACCCCATAACCCAAAAAAAAAACACAACTCTTTCCAGAACAGGTTCAAACAGCGACGAAAAATACCTACGCAACAAAAATTAATTCAACCAAAAAGCGCGAGCATGCGTAAAGAAATCAAAAGAAAAAAAGCAAGAAAATATCCCAGCCTTCCATACTCACAGAAAATACATCAAACATGAATCGGAATCCCCGAAAAAATTGCGATATACAAGAACACCCACACCAGGTAGACATGAACAATCACCGTTATTCTGAGAAAAAGCTGTAAAACTGATTTTGAATACAACTCTGGACAGAAGATAAGACTGCAACTATTAAAATTCCACAGACAATACACACTGAAGTTAGGCTAGACCTATCGCACACTGTAGACCTTACAATGGACAGTGGTGACACTTGACAGTAAAGAAAGCGAAATAAGATCATAACCCCGCAATAAAAGTAGTATGTTCACGCGTTATCCGATTAATTGCAATGTTGAAATGCAAGACTTCACTATCACGCCTAAGCAAGAATAAAAGATAACGACTCTTCCGTCTCTAACCCATATAAAAATAAAATAGAAGAGGAAACACCTCAGCCTAATGCTATAAAGAGTTGCACGACTAGACACAATCCACCCAGGTAATATTACTGTGTAGCGATTTGGCCTGTTGGCTATAGCACTTGACTTTCAGGAAGAAGATTCATTGTTCAAATACAACTTCGTCCAGTTCAGGTTGAGAAAACGAGTGTTTCGATCATTTCTCACAAAAATGTGTGGCTCATTGCTAGATATATTAAACGTTTGTTCTAAGCAACTGAATGCTACAAGGAACCAAATGGAAAATAAAGTACCTCGATTTTCTGCTTACTGGAACACACAACTTAAAACGATCCTTTTCAGAACAACCCCTAACTTTAAAATGAATTATCTTCTTGTGGCCATGCAGCGATCTCACAAACCGATTGCATTTATGATAACAATTCGCTTTATTCCAAAACAGTACTTATAATACAGCATAGAATTTTCAGCATTTGTTAGCTATTACTGACACTTAAGATGATATATCACCAAAAAGCTTGTGCAAGATACCATTGAGAATAAAATTCGGCCAATAGACTCCTCGATAACAGGAAAAATAACTCCCAACCGCACATTTCTAACATGAAATCAGAAGCATACCGATTGCTTTTTCAAAAGCAGCTCAACAAACAGTACATCGAAAAGTAATAGTGTTTGCGCAGTAAAACAAACTACTTCAGATCACACGGTTCACGGAAGCTTTCGTGAACCCATCTCAGTCCAATATCCAATATCGTTTTTACGAGCTAGTATAAACCAATTTGATTTCTTTGTGCTCGCCTGTTGATTGTGAGGTATAAGTTCCTGATCTTCGGTAAACTTCTGCGTAGCTCGTCCCGCCACTCGACTGTCGTAGCTTTGGTTGTCTCCAAAAGGAGTAGTGCTGGGATTAATTATATGTGGTTTGTAGTATGAGGTGTGTTTGGACTGTTACTACTGTGAATGGAGTTGATCCTTCCACCAGTTAGTCCTCAGGTATCGTCGTCAAAAGAAAAAAGATAATAATAATAGATATAGTTAGTGGAATTATTCAGGCTAACAGACAGAGAAAGAAATAAGAAAACGTAGCAACAGTTGGCTTATTAAATTTGAGTAGTTATATGAATAATATATATATATATATATATATCGGTAATAATAATGTGTAGTTAAAGTTGTCAGGAGAGTAAGACGGGAGAGAATGTAAAGAAGTAAAACGACGAGCTTAGTTGTCTGCCCCTGAGTGGTGTATGGAATTTGAAGGGGATAGGCCATTTGGACTTAGTCCTTGTGTCGCTGCATGATTGTCCAGCCCCTGCTTAAAGGCGTCCACAGACGGTGCCATAGCTGCCGGTAAGGAGTTCCAGGGACGGCAAACCAGCAGTGGGAAGAAGTGGGAGCGCACCCGAGTCCTTGCCCTCTGGTGAGCTATCCTTCTGGGATATTTACGGGAGAGCCTTCACCTGCCAACATGGTAGATTATTGATAGAAATCAAAAACATCAGTGGTCCCATGATAGAAACCTGCAACACTTATAATGACATTCTGTGGCAGACGGTCGGACTCAATTGACCTTAGTGGAAATTTGCTTTTCAGCTAGGTAGTCCTTTAACCATGACAGAAGTGGCTTACCTATACCTTCCTGGATTATTTTGTGTTGGGTAAAGTCATGGTGAACGGTGTCAAATGTCTTCTCAAAGTGTAGGAAGGCCACATGGACAGCAACATTCATATCCCAGCATGATGTCCAATCGTCCCAAGCTGATAGTAGGTTAGTAACAAAGGATCTGCCTTTCCTGAAATCGTATTGGGATTCATTGAGTATATTAGACCTATCGAGGTATTCCCTGATGTGATCGTCAATAATACTTTCCAATGCTTTTGATATCACTAAAAGTAGAGCTAGTGGTCTATAATTAGTGTCATTTTGCCTATCTACATCCTTGAAGATCGGAGAAAGGATGTTAATATATGTGTTAGAGATGAGAAAGGATGGCTATTCTTCTGGGAAGTTTCCCCGAATCCACTGAGTGTTGAAACAAGTCGCTTAAGGGCCTACAGAGAGTTTCGGCGCACTGTTTCAGAACAGATTGCGTGATGTCGTTAAAACCTGGTGACTTCCTAGGTGTGAGTCGGTGTAGCTTCCCTAGTACTATCGGGGGGGTTGGTTATTTGGGGAGTAGCCACTAAATCTTCCTCCTGTGAAAAAGTAATGCCTTCATTTTGGTCCGTGACGGTAATACCCACATTGCTATTTAGCTGTTTGGCGAAGACTAAAGTGAATCTTTCAGCCATCTCCAGACTAGTGAAATATAGATCGTTTGGGCCTACTAATTCGCATGCCCCCAGGTTGGGTGATTTTTTATCCGACATGATTGGGTACTAGTTTTTGGGGTTTGCTCAGAGTATTTTAGCAAGATTTTCCTGGATTGAACTCCTGTTCTTCCTGACTCTCACGTTGCACCGAACACTCAGTTCCTGGTAAGCGTCGTGGCACATCTGACTCTCAGATACGCGCCACGTTAACCAAGCCTCCCGCTTCGTTTGCAGAATAAGTTGCGTGCCTCTCTTCAACTATGGTGACTTCCTTTCGGGGTGTTTTGTGACTAGAGGAACGATGTTAAAGACAGCACATTGGTCGTATACACCGGGGAGGCTAGAGCTGAGAATGACATGCACACGGAGATAAGGATTAGCTGGGGAGTAAATAATTGAGAATGAATGCTTCTATTTAGGCTGTGCTCCCACACGCCGGGGAGGGAGAGTGTAAACGACTGAGGCTTGTATACGTCACCATTACTAGAACTGAGGCAGAATGAGTGGCAAGCGATCGCTGTGCTAATGGTAGTGAATATATAAGAGGATGTGAGAAGAGTATCATGATGTGGTGCTATGGTCAAGTTGTTTTCTGCGAGAGTCATTCTAGCAAGTGGCGAATGTGTTGCAAGATGCCATGAGGATGCCTTTAACTGGAAGTCGTAGGTCGTCGTCGATGAGTGAGATCGTGCTGTGGGTATCCTTGTTGTGTGATGGGCTTTTTTGTCATGCTTTTCTATTTAAGCCTATGCTCGCTTGGCTCAGGTCCCGCATTGGCAGTTCAGTTCGAGGTTATCATCGCTATGGAAAAAAGGGATGGACTCTTTTTTGCCGAGGAGTGTCAGTGGAGGTAAACATTGAACTTTTATTTTTCGAACCGGTAGCAATTGGTGGGCAACTCGAAGGACGAAATGGTTTGATAGTGTACAAGTTCGACGAGGACTACGGAAAACGAATAAAGGTACTTCATAATATAGTATATAATATTTGTTTATAGTCTTTTACTGTTCTCCGGTTTAACTGCCAAACAATATAATTTCCTTTTTACAAAACTGGTGTTTTTGAGTTTAAGTCGAATAAAGTACATAGTATTCATCGATTTGGAGCATCTTCGTAACAATAGGAACTTAAGGATAAGTTCCTTGACAGTATCCGAGATTGCTCTATGAATAATCCTTTTTAACACTACCCGGCGTCGATACAGAGATAGCTCGTCCCATGCTAAGAGGCAGTCTGCGACGAACAAAAGCCCCGAATTTCAGCGTGGTCAGCCATGCTATAACACAGATATGGTCGCGTAACGTCCCACTTCAAATGCTCAAAGAGAACGAGATCCAAACCTATGACTATATGCTCAGCTCCTCCTAGAGGGGTCATGATCTGTGAGGAATAGATGAGAGGGTTTGGGCAATCGTGCACCCAAATGAAGAGGATGGAAGAAAAGTGGACAAAGCGGAGATATGTTGCTGAAGCCCTAACCCTCGGAAATAACAAGCAGGGAATTGATTTCTATTGATATTAATTATTTAATATAATTGGTCTCCGAAACAAACCACATGATGAAAGGCTGAAGAAATTAGGCCTATTCACACTTAGCTCCCGTCGGATTAGAGGGATTTAATTACTGCCTACAAAATAACAAATGACTAGAATGACCCAAACAAAACTGTTCTCCCATTGAGTAGGCATAGGCTCTCCCGTAAATATCCCAGAAGGATAGCTCACCAGAGGGCAAGGACTCGGGTGCGCTCCCACTTCTTCCCACTGCTGGTTTGCCGTCCCTGGAACTCCTTACCGGCAGCTATGGCACCGTCTGTGGACGCCTTTAAGCAGGGGCTGGACAATCATGCAGCGACACAAGGACTAAGTCCAAATGGCCTATCCCCTTCAAATTCCATACACCACTCAGGGGCAGACAACTAAGCTCGTCGTTTTACTTCTTTACATTCTCTCCCGTCTTACTCTCCTGACAACTTTAACTACACATTATTATTACCGATATATATATATATATATATATTATTCATATAACTACTCAAATTTAATAAGCCAACTGTTGCTACGTTTTCTTATTTCTTTCTCTGTCTGTTAGCCTGAATAATTCCACTAACTATATCTATTATTATTATCTTTTTTCTTTTGACGACGATACCTGAGGACTAACTGGTGGAAGGATCAACTCCATTCACAGTAGTAACAGTCCAAACACACCTCATACTACAAACCACATATAATTAATCCCAGCACTACTCCTTTTGGAGACAACCAAAGCTACGACAGTCGAGTGGCGGGACGAGCTACGCAGAAGTTTACCGAAGATCAGGAACTTATACCTCACAATCAACAGGCGAGCACAAAGAAATCAAATTGGTTTATACTAGCTCGTAAAAACGATATTGGATATTGGACTGAGATGGGTTCACGAAAGCTTCCGTGAACCGTGTGATCTGAAGTAGTTTGTTTTACTGCGCAAACACTATTACTTTTCGATGTACTGTTTGTTGAGCTGCTTTTGAAAAAGCAATCGGTATGCTTCTGATTTCATGTTAGAAATGTGCGGTTGGGAGTTATTTTTCCTGTTATCGAGGAGTCTATTGGCCGAATTTTATTCTCAATGGTATCTTGCACAAGCTTTTTGGTGATATATCATCTTAAGTGTCAGTAATAGCTAACAAATGCTGAAAATTCTATGCTGTATTATAAGTACTGTTTTGGAATAAAGCGAATTGTTATCATAAATGCAATCGGTTTGTGAGATCGCTGCATGGCCACAAGAAGATAATTCATTTTAAAGTTAGGGGTTGTTCTGAAAAGGATCGTTTTAAGTTGTGTGTTCCAGTAAGCAGAAAATCGTGGTACTTTATTTTCCATTTGGTTCCTTGTAGCATTCAGTTGCTTAGAACAAACGTTTAATATATCTAGCAATGAGCCACACATTTTTGTGAGAAATGATCGAAACACTCGTTTTCTCAACCTGAACTGGACGAAGTTGTATTTGAACAATGAGTCTTCTTCCTGAAAGTCAAGTGCTATAGCCAACAGGCCAAATCGCTACACAGTAATATTACCTGGGTGGATTGTGTCTAGTCGTGCAACTCTTTATAGCATTAGGCTGAGGTGTTTCCTCTTCTATTTTATTTTTATATGGGTTAGAGACGGAAGAGTCGTTATCTTTTATTCTTGCTTAGGCGTGATAGTGAAGTCTTGCATTTCAACATTGCAATTAATCGGATAACGCGTGAACATACTACTTTTATTGCGGGGTTATGATCTTATTTCGCTTTCTTTACTGTCAAGTGTCACCACTGTCCATTGTAAGGTCTACAGTGTGCGATAGGTCTAGCCTAACTTCAGTGTGTATTGTCTGTGGAATTTTAATAGTTGCAGTCTTATCTTCTGTCCAGAGTTGTATTCAAAATCAGTTTTACAGCTTTTTCTCAGAGTGATGGTAAAAACTGCCGTCTGCTTGCTAATTTTTTTAAAGGTATTGGTGTGTATTTATTGTATATATATGTTTATTTGATGAATTTTTTTTATACAATTCTGGGATGATGTGGTTTAGTTTTAGGAGATTTTTGTTGTGTCACAAGGCTGTCTTTTCCATAGTAGCGATTCTTGTCTGGAAGAATGATATTACTTTTTTATATTTTGGTATTTACTATTTTCTTAGATCGTTGTTTTTTTGCGATTCACAGTTGATTGTACTTAATGTATGAATCTTTTTAGGTGATGCTCTTCTTTCCTGCAGTCGTTTTTCTTATTTTGGTTCCTAATAAGTTGAAGGCCTATTCTTTTCCTGTCCAGAATTATTTAACAATTATAGTTTGCTTTATTCCAAAACAGTACTTGTGATGCAATGAAATTCTCGGCATTTTAATACAGTATTGCATCCAGTCAATACATTATCAGTAAATCAAATTCTACATAGATTAAGTTAATCTCAGTTAGTTTTGACAACATATTGGCATGTCGTTAGCAAAGTCGAAATTGAACAGAGTGTTTGAAGGTGTTAGAAAAATATATGCTAGCATATTTATTGGCGTAAGCGGTAACAAGAAGTCGAGATTTACAGGGTGTGAGAGAACGAAGAATGTTTTAGGAGTTAGTAAGGAAGAAAGAAACAAAGCAGCACGTAATAGAAAAATAGAGAGAGAGAAAAATAAAAGAAAGAACGAATACGTTGTACCTATAAATGAAATGAGTTGGAAAGACGAGATCCAGTTGTTCTACTGACTATTTAATAATTTAAAGGTTTCACGCCTAATGCTTTCTTGTCGCACAGAACACGAACTAAGTAGGTTATGGTTGAGTTTTTGTACTTGCTAGTGCGAGCATATAGTTTTCTACATAGGCTTCTGGTTTCGCTTGATGAGGTACAAGGAGAGAGCTGTAAATGAAGAGGGTGATGCGAGTTAGATAAAATGGATTTTGCCCATTTTTCACATGAGTTCATGTGCCTGTCAACCAGAATGTTAACAAGCTGGTTAAGTGGCACGTAGCTTACCCTGCTGACAACCTCAAACATATTGCGTAATAAGGTATAGTCTTTCTTCAGTTGCCCTCCAAAGACTAAGGGGGAACAATAAAGAATAATAGGCAGAATCTGGGAGTTAACGAATTGTAGAAGTAAGGATTGGGTTATACCAGAATGTCTTTGCATCTTGATGTAGAAGATAAGACGGAATATTTTCTTAGAAATCATCAAGATATGAGACGACCAGGAAAGATCAGAAGATAGAATGACGCCAAGATACTTAATTTCCGACTTGGTTTCTATTTCACTGTCATCTATTTTGCACAGCTCGTGAGTGCTGACCAGTTTGTTTAGGTCAGATTTATGCCTAAAGGTGAGATTTACTGTTTGGCATTTGGAGGAGTGTAAGGTAAGATCGTTTCCCTTGGACCATTGGCTGACTTCTGATAAAAAGCCACTTAGTTTAGTGCAGTCACTTTGACATTTGACAGGTAAAGATACAGTCAGGTCGTCAGTATATTTGACAAAATTAATGTCATTTGAAGATGGTAAGTCATGTAGAAAGAAAGAAAGAGAAGTGAACTGGGGAGATTAAAGCACCTTGGGGGACGCCAGCTACAGTGAACATAGCAGAGGAGGATTTACGTTTGTGTACGGCGTACTGCATTCTGTTAGAGAAGTAGATATGTAACCAATTAGTGACCCAGGATTCAGTTTGTGTCATAGAGAACTTATTTAGCAAGAGACATCTAGGTACAGAGTCGAAAGTAGAAGTGAGGTCGAGAAACTTGCAGCGGAGGTATTTGGCACCCTTATCTAATGATGAGACGTTACTTTTGTGTAAGACGGCTGCAGCGTTTAAAGTGCTCATGTTTCATTTCTGTTCCGTATACCTGGAATTACTTTTACAGCGTCCTAACTAGTTACGTACTAATATGATGCCTACGACAGCTTTTCGGATATGATGTTTCTCAGTTTTCGGATTCGTAATGTTATGCAGATACTTACACCTGCGGAAAGTTTGAAAAAATTAGGTGTTTCGATTTCAGGGCGGAGAAATGTTTGTGACTATTGCTATTACTCACTGGTTTCAAATGGTGTTTTTGTTTATTGTAGTTAAATATCAGCTCTTTTTAGTTCTCTAATATCAATGATAACTACCGTGGAGTTTTAGATTTAGTATCTCTTCTCAATCTATTAATCAACGGTTGTTTTATTCATAAAAGTCGAATTTCCTTTGCAGTCACATGTGTCATATTTGACCTTTTGTGATTTTGATTATTTCGTGAGCATAAACGTAAATGAAGTTTCACACTTTTTCTTATTTACTAGGCTGTTATTCTGTTGTGAATACAGTTGATGCATCTTTTTTTTGCCCTATTATTTGTTTTGTCACTTTGGATTATTTTATTGTTAGAACGTTTCTTATTCCGTACTGCACAGTTATATTCACATTTCTAGGTTATTTATTCAATTTTAAATGCATATTATAGCGATGTTATATTGAACAGTCTTGAATAGTTTCTTTCCTTCCTTTCGGCAAATATCTTTTAGCTTTGCGCAATGATAGTTATTTTGTTTGGCTAGTTTGATTCCAAGCCTATTTCTTTAAATGTAATGGAAAATTATTGTCGTTTATTATGATCTCTGTTATAATACTCTTACCTGAAATCTATGTATTTTGAATTTTGTATTAATTAGGCTGTTATTAGCCAATGGTTGATGAACGCGGATATTCAGAGAGTGAATTTGCTGGGAATGATTTTGATGATTTTGACGACGAAGAATATTGTGATAGAGTAGAAGAAGATGAAGATGAAGAAGAAGATGAGGAGGATGAAGATGACTACAAAGAGGAAAATGCACGTCAGGAGACTGAAGAACAAGCACGAGCACTTCTTGAAAAAGCCAAGGTATTTTTCGCTTATTGAAAAAAACGTTATGTGTTAATATACATGAAAATGTTTATATGTTTTATGCGAGACATAGGTATAGCTATTAAAATTGAAAGATATGAAGTAGCTAGCTGTCTTTGATCGTAGATGTTTGCACTCTAACTTCGGTGAGAAGTTGTATAATGCGGTGAGCAGTATTAAGGGCAGGTGTAGATTATAAGGTATCGAGGGTAAGTTAGTCAATGAAATTGTGAAGTCACATCGACTGAGATGACTAGGACATTTGTTACGCATGCCGAGTCACCGCATTACTTGATAGGCAATGATTACCGACAGAATTAGTTTGGAAAGAGAAAGCTATAAGTGGTTAAATCAAAGTCTGACATGAGTATACGTAGGCTTTGACGGTTGGTTTGTGCCATATAGGAAAGTGAAGATTACCTGGTTGGGTTTCTCGGAATTTTAAGAACGAAAGCTTGGAGACTATTGATGATATGGCGCAAAATCATTCTAAGTAGTGCAGGGACATTCACTCTTTGTGTCCTCCCTCATTCATTAAACCCTCTTGTTTTTTCATGTTACTATTTTTTCTGTCTCTCGTACACTCTTTCTCACTATAGTTACCTCGAATCTCTTTCTTCTACCTTTATCTGCTACTTGGAATATGGCGACTTGTCCCTTTACTTCTTCCTCTCAGTTTATAATATTTACAGCGTTGTTGGTTGTATGTTTGACACACTCTTTTAAATATGCATCATAAATTTTATACTAAGCGACTGCTTTGGATGCAGATTAGTATATCTAAAACGTAAGCCGCTGTCGAAACAACGCATAGAATTTTGTAGAGGGATCTGTTATTCGTACAAGAAAAGTAAAGTTTTTTTGTTTACAACGTCTGATACACAATTTCGTTTTTGAAATGATTCGATGAAATTACACGGTCTGCAACAGAAAAAGTGATCTGACAAAAGTATGCAATATGTTGTGAATGGTTTTAAAATTAACAATATGGGTTTAAAATAGTGAAGTTTTGCATTCTAGTCTTTGCATTAGAATAACACTCATGTATGGAAATAAAAAATATTCTAATTCTTTATGGAATGAAAAATAGTAACTGTATACGGTTTTATTGGACTGTAATGCTGAATTCATCTTGGGGCATACAGATACCGCTAATACAACACACAGGATATTATCTCCTTGAACTAATAACGTCATTTGGATTAATTATCTTTTAACTGTTGGATCAGTGATTCATTCTTACGAAGTAAGATTTTGTGATTGGGCTATTGAAGTGTACTTTGAACTTAATTGATACCAATAAGCTGGTCCATCCCATTTAGTGAAAACTCATACATCTATCTAAAGATCTTTGGTGACCTAAGTTTTATTTCCTAAATTTAGTTATTATTTCTTGCATTGTTCAAACTGTTCTTAAAATCATTAAAGTTATTCATGATTCTGTTTAACATAGCATGCCAGGTAAGTCTAGTGCATCACAGTAACTCTGAAAATTTGGAGCCATCTAATGTTTAAACGTGTGCTCTGTTGACGTCCTTGTTTGATGTTGCTGTAAATATTCGTGGAGTTATAACAGATAAACTTTCTATCAAGCATCCACTACATAAGCCTAACCGTTCAAGTTGTAGTCTTGAAGTAAAGGAACGCTATACTCTACCAAATAACAATTTGCGTTCCGGCGCTTTAGCCGTAGAATGGTTACCAACCATGCATGTGGTCCGGGTTCGATTCGCAGCCGACGCAATCCTAAACCCCACTTAGCTGATTGTAAGCCAGACAAAGAGACAAGGCTAGACGTGATGCTATCAGCTGTACCCTGTAAAACCGAAGCGATTCCTATTCTAACTTCAAAGCCCAAAGCTTGAAGCCATATGTTCCACTAGTAACACAAATGACTGGAAAAAAAGAATTTTGCTAAATCTAAGCTTTTTGGATGATATGCGGGGGACTTTCTAGGGAGCTCATTAACAGAACAAATATTAGAATAAAAAAATCCATGTTAATAGAATGATAGTGTAACAGTATATTACAAAAATACTGCAATGAGTTGTATAAATTAATTGGTTATTTGGTTGTACAGTTAAAGTCCACTGCTACAAATTATTAATATAATCCACAATAGTGTTCACTGCTGCAGTCGTGTCTACTGATAGAAGCTGTGCACCGGTTGTGGAATAGTCTTCGGTTGAAGATAAGAGGTTCTTGCAAAATCCAAAGTATACCACGCGGTTAGTGGTGAAACAAGTAGATAGCACAGACCAGTGAGAAGAAGAAGCATCTAGCAACACACTGTATTTTAGATTGTACTCCTCAGTTATGTATATTTCAACATGGACCGTTTTAAACAAAAATTGTGCACAATGTATCCAATTTCAACATCTAACAAAAAAATTGTACAGTCGTATTTTTACAGACTCCACACGGCTCCCGCCCTAGAGGTCCGGAAGGACTACCGGAAGCTGTCACTGTTAGTGAAGCAAATAGTAATTAGAATTTTTGTGATAATAATAATATGGACACATAATAACATGCAAGTACGCGAAAAGTTATTTGTATCGTTTAAAGTTTAGGTGCATTTACAAACAGTTCAACAACAAAAAATGAAATAGAAGTTTATTGTTAAAGACTCCACAGATATCCTATGATTAGTTTTGTCCTACTTTATCGATATGTCGAAAATTCCAAAAAAATCTATATGAGACTACTTTTGCTTTTTTTCGTATTATTATTGTTGTTATTATGTTCAGAAAATTGCAAAGGAAGTTCATATAGGTTCCCATACGGTTAACTATCATAAAAGATTTCATGTTTTAATTGTTGATGGTCAAATTTGTTTCAAATTGTACCGTTGCAGTTTTGTGCGTGTTTCTTTTTCTTTTTATATATCTTTATCATCTTTTCGTTTTTTTATATTTTAAACAAGACATCCAAAGTTGTCTTTGTAGTGAGAACAAATGTTGCATTTCATGGATCGTTATCAGATGACTGTCCAGTCCCTGGAATGGCTGTTAGCTTCCAGGTAAGAAGGTGTAACTTTCATATATATATACATATTGCTGTGTGTAGAGTATTCAGCCGAAAGGTAAATTGACAAAGGCTTTTTCACAAGTATTCTTGGAAATATATCTATCTATGCCTGTAAGAGGTGAATACATAGATGATGTTTTAAAGTCAATAGTTTGACATCCAAATTACCTCGTATAACTTGATACCTATGTTTTACAAAAAGCTGCACTGCAAAATAAGTCGGCAATGAATTCTTTCAACAGATCATTTCCGCTGAATTTTTATTTTTCGTAGCCTAGATGCTGTAATATCCTAGTGATATAGATAACACAGTGGTTGTAATATCATCACTGTTTTGTAGAATACCGTTGAAGTTTAACTCTTCAGTTCATTTTCATCAAAAGTCTTTTTGTTATTGATTCTTAGAGGTATTAAGGCAGATAAAATGACGCGCTATCTTGTACAAAATTATATTGACTGAAGTTGTATTGATAACAAGCGTACTTAAATAAGTCATAGCGTAACTCCTACAATTACTGTTTGAGGTCTCGAATTATCACAATTCACTTTTGCACATTATTTAACAGGTTATAAATCACTAGGGGATATAAATACCTTGATTGGACACTAATAACTAGTGTGATGTGTCTAGTCCTTTGTTTGCTGCAGACTCAGTTGTCAGTCAGGTTCGCATTGTGGTCACCATTCTAGGCAGCTTGCCATCACAGTGTACATTGATTTGATGATATTAGATGGCTGGGAGCAGTTGGCAGGAAGCTTTAGACCCAGATTTCGTGCTAGTTGGCACTCACCAGCAAAGCGTATCTGCAGTCTTGTCCAGTCAAAGTATCCACTATAGTCCTACTGGAGGTCTATCGCGAGTCCAAATAGCTCAATGGTAACGTCTCTGACTGCAGCACAGAGTGAAGTGGGTTCGAATCTCAGAAGGGACGTGAGTTCCTTCAAGGTTGCAGATACACCCTGCTGACTGGTGAGTGCCAACTAACACGAAACCTAGGTCCAAGGCTTCCGGCCGATCGCTTTCGACCATCTTATATCATCAAAAGGTGATATAAGTACTAAATAATGCCTTGAGTTCTGAAATGCTATAAAACAGAAGTACTTGAATATAGTGAAGTGATATAATACTTAAAATAAATAAATGGTATGAAGGCCTCTGAGCCAACGTGGTCAACACTTAGACATACCAAGTAGAAATGTTAATCATATGTTCAGGTGTTTAACAGTTCGCGGTACAGCCATAAGCAACCATCAGTAGATTTATAGACTGGTATAGTATCATGATCAGTTCGTCGATCGCTTTATTCTAATATAATCCTACTTCTAATAACATAGCACTTTTTAACAATTATTGGATAGCTCTGCAATCAACTTAGCTATCACACGCAAGATTGTACTCTTCATGTTTTGCTTTCATAAATCTTTTGAAATACTAGTAAAGAAATGATGGTTAGAGATCTGAAGATTTTGCGGGTTCTTTAGCTTCAGTTTAATGTATATTTTGATAACAGTGATTTATAATCAATTAGATGAATACTCTTTATTCTCACTTGTTTTGGTTAAGCATTTCAAATACTAGAATTAAATATAAATACATCTTGTATTTACTTTTAAGTTAACCTTGATTTTCCCTTAGAGTGATTTGACCGCGATGTTAGGTCGTTGTTAAAATGGGTCACCTCCTAGTACGGACACTTCGACAGTGTCTTATGATTAACCTGAAACAGTAGAATCCAGGATTCGCATTTTGTCTAGTTTGTGACTCGTCATCTGGAGCTGACATGTCAACTGAGGCTGGACATTTCGATCCACTGAACTAGTGAGAAAACCAGAATTGAATTAAAAACAAATAATAACTGGTACCCGTTGCACAAGAAGTGGCTCTCGTGTTCCAGTGGATATAGATTTGGCATTTGTAACTATGGTTCTCGGCAGAAACACCATCACTCATGGGGGAATTCAGATATATCCGGACGATGAGTGCTGAATAAGAAGAAATGTGGATTCTGGATTCCAGTGCTAATCACCACCCTACAAATTATAATTAGGAGTAATTTATCGATTGTTTAAAAAAATATATAATGTATTCTTTTGATCATCTTTGTCAGAGCAAGAAGAAAACTTTCACTCAGAAATGTCCACATGTCGTATCGGGACTTCTCTTCAGCTAAATATAGGCTAAAATATACATAGTGCTAGCAACATGAACACATTTTGTTTTGTTCCTGCATGTTCCCGGTGGAACATAGGGCTTCAAGCTACAGGCGTGATGTTTCGGTAGCAGTGGTGTTTATTTTTACGGGGTGAATTTGCTAACCTTATGCCCAACCTTCCCTCTTTACCAGTCTTATTACAGGCTTAGCGAGGTTTGGGAGTGCATCGGCCGGGGATGCACACCCGGAACCACATAAGGCGTGGTTGGCGAGCCTTCTACTGTTGTGCCACCGATGCAACACAAGAACGCAAAGTTTTTAAATTCTATTCAGCTAAAGTTTCACATCGAAATTGTAGCTAAAGGGAACAGTAATTTGTGATATATGATAGTATAACCATTCACAAGTAACACGAAATGAAAGGAATCACTTCTCCTAAATTTGGAATAAGATTCGAGATATTTTAGCAATTGACTTAACAATTAAAACCCTAATTAATTTGCAACAGACAGGAAGAAAATGGCTACGTAATAATTAACGAACAAGAAATGATTTCAGAAGTGATTAGAAACCATTAAAGTGAGTTTAAATCGCTGGGTAGAGGATATAAAAATGAGTTTTTAACGACAATGATAATAAAGATTGTAACAAAAGGTACTAAAGGCATCAGAATGCATGAAAAGTTGTTACCAGGGTCAACTAAAATTAATCACGATTTCTTTCTACATACATTAGTTAGGTTTGTGTTTCTTGATAACAATAAATTCAAAAAAATGAAGTAAAGTCGGATTTCTTTGTTTCTTTGTTGATAATGGTGTCAGTGTCTGTAAGTATGATATGTACTTTGCGCCGTCTAAGTGCAAAGTACTATTACAAGATTGGCAGGAGCATGTACCTGCACTCACTCTTGCGGATGAACCACTTGAAGTTGTTGATAAGTTTGTGTTTCTGGGTAGTTGTGTGAGTGCTGGCGGAGGGGTGACGGATGAGCTTTCCAACCGTATAATGAAGGCTAGGGTGGCATACATCAACTTGAGCCACCTATGGCACCGTCGCGACATTAGCCTGGCTGTCAAAGGTCGAGTATACAATGCTTCGGTGCGGGCTGCCCTGCTCTACGCCTGTGAAACCTGGCCTCTCCGAGCTGAGGATGTGCGGTGACTCTGCGTGTTTGATCATCGCTGTCTCCGCAGGATTGCTTGCGTTCGATGGCATCATCGCGTGAGTGATTCTGAGGTTCGGCGGCATGTGTTTGAACACTGGAGATCACCATTCATTGAGTGTCGTCATCTGGAAACATCGTCTCCGGTGGCTTGGACATGTGCTTAGAATGTCATCCCAGAGGTTTCCGTACAGGTCTCTGTTCGCTAGCCCTAGGACGGGACGGAAAAGGCAGAGAGGTGGTCAGTCCATGACGTGGCGTCGTGGGATGGAGGGTGTTTGTGCTAGATTAGCATCGGTTGGTGCGCCACGACTCTTCGGTCGGGTCCGCGAGAAAGCTCGAATCGATGGCTTGAAACGTTATCGGATATGGCCAAGAATCGTAATCAATGGCGAACGTGTTGGGATTTCCTTCTTTCTTCCCTTCCCGATGGTAGTTAACGAATACTGTTTGAACTTGTTAAGTATGACTGTTTTCCTTCCAGATGGAGTTCTTTATCCGTTCTCTACCTATTTTTTTTTTTACTTTTGATCTATGTTGTTTTATTATTATTGTGTGGCGCATCTTTCTTGGTGTCATATTGTACCAAGTTTTTTTTATGCGTTTAAATAAAATAAATAATGGTAAATGCAATTCTATATTAGTTTGTTTATTACTACCACAGTGCCCAAGTTTTACACATATATTAATGGTAAATGCACTTGGGATATCCACTTAGCGTCCCGATTAGATTGGATGTCAGTTTAATGATGCTGATAAGGGATTGAGGACCTCTGAGTCCCAAACGTCTCTAGTCGTCCTCCGAAATTAGGATAATTAATTACCTTCATTTGTAACCGATTATGCCATCACAGTTCACCTACTGTTATTGTATTCAGCTACGTTCTTGTCAAACTTATGCTGAATGGAATAGGAATTGTATGGTCTTATTTCATTAATCCTATGTATATTTTAGGCTAACTGCAGCTGAAGAGGAGCCTCTAAACAAAGTGTGTACATTTTTTTGCTGTAAATTTATTCAGCTTGGTAGTGTGAAATGAAATATCTACCGACAGATTCATGCATAAACTCTAGTTAGACAATTCAAATAAGGCATGTTTTAGATCCTACATTTTATTCTTCATAAACATTACAGGATGCAATATATTAATATTCATTGTTCATTGTTCTGCATATCTATGTGCATCTATTCAAGGTTAAAGATTTCCTGCATATTAAAGAAAAGTTTAATAATGAATGGTGGATTGGTCGGTTAGTTAAAGAAGGCTGTGAGATTGGCTTTATCCCATCACCTGCAAAATTGGAAGCAATGCAGAATTTTGGTTCTAGAGGAATGAGGTAAATTATTATCATTATTTTAATACTATTTACTATCCACAGTCTAATAAAGCTCTAAGCTGTGCATTTGTTGTTATATGCATTTATTACATTTTCTTTTATGTGAGATTCATTTTCCCAGACCCCAATCAAATTATTTCAATAGCTTCTGTTGTATGTAGAAGATGCCTTCATAAATCAGAATTAAGAAAAGCAGAAATACGATAGATAACTTTAAATGCTTTGTTAATATCCTTCTCAAGGACCCCCTGTTTATCCCTACTCGTCTTAAGTTAGTCCTATGTATTCAGTAGGTGCCATTGGAATCCAGCTGAAGTCGGATCTGTGTATTCAGAAGAGATCCGTTTTTATTGTTTTTATTGCACTTGTCATTGGTATTACTTTTATTTTGACGAGTTGATCACGGACTGATATCAGTTAGAGAACCATTGAAAACCAGCTGAGAGTACTGGACAGTTGTTTCGTCAGCCTAGTTTGGGAATCATCGGCAGTACGCAACCTCTACCGGGGTTCGAACCCAGGACCTTCCAGTTACAAGTCAAGCTAGCTGTTACATCATTCAGCCACTGGGACCCCATCAGATTCAATGGCAAACCCATGAACTCCGACTTCTACCGATTCGTCATTTAGCGTGACCACCATCTGATGATCGCAAGTGACTTGCCACGGGACGGAGTTTCCTGGAGGTCTAGTGAGAAGTCGTGACTAGTGAGTTCCATCCAGTCAAGTGTGAGGATGGATGTCCCACCAATGATGATGGTCGGTGGTCGCGCTAATTGGTAGAAGCCAGAATTCATGGGCTAGCCATTGAATCGGGTGTAGTTCCAGTGGCTGAATGGTATACTAGCTAGCTTGACTTGTAAACGGAAGGTCGTGGGTTCAAACCTTCGTGGTGGGTGCGTACTGCCGATAATCCCCAAACTGGGATGAAACAGCTATCCAGTACTCTCAGCTGGTTTTCAATGATTCTCTAACTGATATCAATCCGTGATCAACTCATCAAAACAAATCTAATCCTTAAAAACCAACTATTGAAAATTATTTGTATTGCTTGCCGTCTATTGCTACCTGATACAATACAAGGTTCTATTGCTACTGTTTTTTTTACTGATATCATCAGTTTGCTGTGTGTAGTAGTTGATAAGCTGAAAATAAATGAAGACTGTCCCTAGATTTTGATATATATTTCTTTACAATGATATTCACAACTGGAAGTTAAGTGCATTGATAATTAGTTTATTCTACGTTGAAATGAGGCAATTCTACCACCTGAAAATCTTTTCTTTGGTCTAAGTGGTGACGGATAAGGGGAGTAATCACATTGATTAGATGTAGCGTAGGGAAATTAAGTCTCTGATCTGCATTTAAATGAAAAATATATATATGTGGATGGATGTAATAATTGCTTGTGGTGAAATATGCTCAACTGTCTACACCCATATATACATTACACGACTGAAGAAGAATGAAATTCTACACTTCACTTTCCAGATATTATGTAAGACAACAGAGATGACGAGATGGCAGTAAACTAACCTTAACAGTCGGGTACCTCTAAGTAGGACAAGAAACCGTATCCACTATCTATGTTCTAGAGTTCTAAAAGTGTACTCCAAGTGTATGGCCAACAAAGAAATCGAAAACCTTAGTATAACACTTAAGTAATGGATGACATACAAGTTTAATTCAGAGGAGTAGTGGAAAACAAATCGCTCTTAGTCAAATCTCAGTGTTGTAGAATACATCAATCATCATATATTTGTGAATCGTAGGCTAAATCGCAGGTGTGGTACTTAAAAGTTGTTCATCCGCGTGTATTAAAGACACTTTCTATACTAATGATTTACACCTGGGATTCTTAAGCAGCAGAATGAGTTGGCAGTGTATGAAGGATGATCTACTACTCTTTCACATGCTCCTATGGAACTGATTACATTAGACATTGTAATCGTGCTGTTCTGAAACGTGTACACTTGAACACTACATGGTTCGGTTGATGAAATCCGAATACAGAATGATGAAGTCTTCTATTTGTAAACACCTTCTTGGGTTAGGTCCTATGAGATATATCCTTTAAAATTCAAGTATTCTAACAGTTTAAGTTGTCATCATCTATGCATAGCGAAAGTACCAGTTATGCATAAACAAAACCATAGGCTGTGTATTCAAAAACGTTTTACTACCCCCCACCCTTTTCTTTCCTCTGATCTTAGTAATGTCTTCTTTTTGGTTAGTTTCATTCCACATCACTTTATCTTCGCTTTCACTATTGTGGTCATCGTCGTGGTTTAAATTTTTCCTCAGCCATTAACGTACTTTCAACACCTCTTAATTCTGTAATTTGTTCACTACAATTCTACTAGTTTAAAAACTTATGTTAATGTTTTCAATGTTTATTGATTGCGCAGGTTTGAATGCCATTAGATACCTTTTCACGTAATATAAATATGACTACAAAGTGTAGAAATGAAATCGTTGTAGGCGAATAATTCTTCTCTGAGTAAATCTCTCTATTCGTGAATGAATAGGTGTATTTTGTTACGTGCTCTCTTGCTCGAATAGATAGACTCTGTGTTTAAAGCTGTTTAGTTGTCTGTGTTGGTTTTGAATTCCTTGTTTCATTTTTCAAGGTGAAATTATTAATTTTTTTAAGTGATGATTATTGTTTTTCGTGTTTTATTTTTCAGTAAAAGTTCTACTGGAAATTTTGATAATGCACGAAGTGGTAATTCAAGACCTTCTACACCTCCTGGTAATTCAAAGTTTACAACTTACTTAGTAATTCTTAAATAATTTTATGTATTTTACGACTGTATCCCAATTAATTTCATAGCATTGCTTTATCAGACATGTCAAACAGTGGAACGATTTTATTTACACGATAACGGTTCCAATATAGCTCTATATTCATTTTTCGATTGAGTGTAAATTCTCATGCATTTATTCTCCTTGATGAATTTGAATACAGCAAGAACAACAGTGGTTTGTGCAGAATCATATGGTACCATCATTTACTTCGTCCGGCATCATAGATGTTGCGTCATTAGGATTGTACATGTGCGGTGTTGAATCGATAAACAAGGCTTCAGTGATTACCCTTTCTGTCTCTCCACCTAACTACGTTACCCTTTAATACATACACTCTGTCCCACATAACTGTGTGATTACATGCAAGTGAATGCGGTGCAATGCAGTGGCTGAGCTTTCTTCTAGGTTATTTAACTTATCTGAGTTAACAATCATTCTAGGTCTAGCTAAAATTTTATGTTCTAATAAACTAGTTGACCCTGACCTGCTAGTTTCACTGATCTATGTAATTGATCTCACTAACAGTTATTACATGGTATTTAGTAAATTACGTTATTTTTCTTAATTCGATCTATTGGGTCCTTAAGCTGACAAAGTTTATCTCTGAGAGAGTTCGTTGGTTGATTGATTGGTTTGACTGCCAACCCAATTCCAGCCTCGTTGAGAATCCTACGTAAGGTCACTCACGTTCCTTCTTTATACGGTGGTAGTACTACAGAGCCTTTGAATTCTATATTATTCTTGTCATTTTTGTTGCTAATCTTGGTTTTTCTATGATTCTTCACATATTTTTTGAATAAATTCTGGTGGGTATTTGTTCCCTGAGAACATCTCATTTATTTGTTTGATTTCATTATTTAAATCTTCTGGCATACTAGTTATGCTCTTGGTCGATTTTACAAACATTTAACTAAACCCGTCTTTGAATAAAGCAAGAACAACAGTGGTTTGTACAGAATAATATGGTACCATCATTGGTTATTTCGTTGTCTTCTCATTAGCTGCTTACAACCTAGATAAATTATGAGGTTTACGTACAGAAAAGTTTTAGTATACTTGCAAATTTTTTCCTGGTGTCATTTGACAAGAAGTTCCACAATTAAGGAACAGTGCTCAGAAAATTGCGCTTATATAGTTCTTACACAGGCAGTTCAAGTTTAAACCAAATAAATGTATGCATACAATGTTAAAGGAGTTACGTAACAAAGATAAGGGATGCGTAAGAGGCTGAGTGACTAATAAATTAGGTAACAATGTTGTACTGAGTTCAACTCGAATCATAGAAATAAGAGACAAGCAAAATTAGACTCTATCGAAGGGTGTAAATGCACAATTAGGTTCTTAGAGTTCAAACGCTTTCCCTTAGTTTGTCTTTAGAGTTAAAAGAGTTTTCAGATATTTAAGACAGACGTGGTGTGATATTCCTATTCGCATGTATTATCTGTCTAAATATTTTCAGTGTGATTATTGTCTTCCACTAGGAACTGTTCAAACTCTAAATTAATCAAGTAATTCATATGAAAGGAAACGGTGACTGAAAGATTTCCAAATAGAAAGGATAAAAAAATAATCATTAGTTTTGATATAAAAATCTTAGACACTAGTATTTTAATTCATTCAGCTCTGGAAGCAGTCAAGCATCAAAACGGGATGAACTTTGACCCTGAAATGACACATTGGTCAAGGAACTCATGTTAGCCGTTTGATTATGTCTCATTCTATAGTCTTCAAAATGGTCGGATAAAATATGCAATCAAACAATCGGTGCGATATTGGAGTAAGCAATATCTCCAGTTTTATCGCATATATATATATATATATAAAGATAGTTGAGGACATAGTACTCCTACTGCCAATATATTGTGGAGATACTCAGACAACATGCTTATTTTATTGACATTTGAACATATCCATAATCCTGTTATGGATATAAACTTAGGAACAGATGAAATCAAGTTGAAATTCGAGTTAGAAATTGAATTGGATGACTTGTTTGTCGTAGGTCACCAAGATAAAATAAAGACAAGATGGCGGTTTAACTGTGAGCATTATAAAAATCTGGTTGCATACTGATAGAAAAGTCAAGGAGTACTGAACAGCTATTCTGTCCTAGTTTAGGACTCTTTGGAAACATACACACATTGGGATTCGATATATCAATGTCTAAATAATCAAGTTAGAAATCTTCTGACTAAAAAGTCAGTGAATTTAAACAGGGAAAGATAATGTTTCCACTGAATAACTGTCCCCCGAGATCATTTCAGGAATTTAGAAAGACATACAGATGAAATAGAAGTAGTAATGTAATTGATGACCATAATAATGTGACTAATAGGTGAATCGGAACCACCACAGTAGTATCATATAAGGGAGAGTCGTTCGGAACCTTTCTTAGACTGAAATTAGGGTGGCATTTAAGTCTACGAATTCATTTGGTTACGAATAATATAAGATTAGGATGTCAGCACTATTGTAGAATATAATTCCATATCAGATTGGCTAATTTAATGGAAGACACGGTGACATTATATTAAGTAAGTTAGAAAGTCGTGTGAATATATTCTTACGATTATGAGCAACAATTTGTACTGGAAACATCATCCAGTTATTACTATATCATTGTGTGTTATATCAGATAAACGTATCTAGGATGTGGGATCCTTTAGGGATGAACTCTATCGGCTTAGGGATCCCTTTAATCCTATTAGATCAACTAGCCTATCTTATCGAATACTATGTACTGATCGACTTTGAAAAGGCCTTCGACAGCGTCGATCGGGAGGTGATTTGGCAACTACTTCGCTGCTACGGGGTCCCATCGACAATTATACATCTCATCCAACAGTTATACGATAATACTGCATACCAAGTAATCCACAACGGGAAACTTACGGAAGCCTTCGAAGCGAGGACGGGAGTAAGACAAGCTGGTTGGCTGCCTACTATCGTCAATGATCTTCATGATTGCAGTAGATTGGATGATGCGACAGACAGAGGTCAATGAGGAAACATACATAAAATGGACTCACACAAAAAACTTGGAGGATCTGGACTTCGCCGATGATATATATCTGATTTCCGACAAACTGGAAGATATGCAAGTGGAAAGCAACAAGCTGGCAGAAGAAGCATCCAGAGAAGATAGGACTTTAGAACATAGATAAAACAGAAATGATGAAGAATCCTGGCCAACACCACCACCAACAACAACAGACAACAATCAGCCAGAATAAATGGAAGGAAATTAAAAGAAACAACCTCCTTCACCTACCCATCTACCTGGGAAGCATCGTTTCAACTACAGGTGGATGGAACTGACGAGGATATCAAAGCCAGAATCGGAAAAGCAAGACAAGTTTTCATCACTCTTAAGTCTGTATGGAGGTCAACAGCACTCAGCATCAAAAATAACATCCGGATTTTCAACTCCAATGTAAAGTCAGTGCTACTATACGGATCAGAGACTTGCACTGCGCGTCATAAAAAGCATCTCAAACAAACTACAGACGTTCATTAACAGTTGTCTTCACTCAATACTCAAGATCAGATGGCCGGCCAGAAAAGATCAGCAATAGTGAGGGATCTCTGGGAGCGAACCAACCACGAACCGATCGTGAAACAAATAGGCAGGAAGAAGTGGAGATGGATTGGCCATACACTGAGGAAACCATCAAGTGACATCACTAGACAAGCCATCGCTCGAGTGGAACCCTGTTGGGAAGCGGCGAGTTGGTCGTCAGTGCAAGGGTGACTTGGAGGAGGTCATGCGAAGAGGAGATGAAAGCATGTGGGCAGATGTGAAGCCAAGTGAAAACGTTGGTGGAGAACCGAACGCAATGGAGACGCGCGGCTGAATCCCTATGTTCCTCTAGGAATTAAAGGATATAATAATAATAGTAATAATAATAATTGGTGTATACATTTACTTTTCAAAATAAACGAATCAAAAATTGTGAAAATGTTACATGCAATACAGAATTACTTATCATCCTGTACGATTCCTAGTCCGAAGATATTCTTTTCTCTCGTGGAATGCAAATTCAGATTATACAGCCAATACATTGTATAAAATATCATTACATGGAGAAAATATGTAAATTCCTTTTTATATGTATGCCACAAATAAACACATAAGTTCTAGTCTTGCTAAAAGCAACATATTTTATTGGGTGGGTCTAACTATAAGCTCATTGATTTACTTTCTTAAAACAATAGTCTAGGGAAGTATAAACTTAACAGCACGATATGTGTTTAAATCAATAGACATTAAAAACCAAGATTAGAGTTCAGTAGTATGGTACGTGAAAACCGTCAAGTTTTTTATGTTTCTATGTGCTTTTCATAAGACTTTCAGACCTTCTACGTCATAACTTAATATACACAGATCTACATGTCTGAATAATTTAAGGAGACTCGGGTATCACAAGTCTGCATTGGCTAAAATTCTAGAAAGTTGGGTGTTTTTCTTGTTTATGGCATTGTGAATGTGATCAGTGCAGAAGACTGTTGAGCACTTTCCTACTGAGCTGTTAATAGATAATTAAAACGTTTTATAAGTCATTAGTTTCACAGTCCTCCTCTCTTCTGTTAGCCTTCAGGTATCTGTTGAGAGCCATTCTTTGTCTTGTCTCTTCTTTCCTCCTAAAACGGCTGTACACGTCTACGTAAACATCATCTTCAGAGAGTTCCAGTGTTCTCCCACTCAAGTTTCCTGAATGACATCACGTAGTATCTTCGACTTTGTTCCGATCTGTAGTGAAGTCATCCTTTATGGTTTTGTCCTTCAGTTTCTGAATGTTGGACTTGAATTGCGGCCTGTCTCCAATTGTTTTGAAGGATTTTCGCTTCATCTTGAAGGTTCCTCGAACTAAACGATGGTGGTGTGAGCCCATATCTGCTCCCATTTTCGACTTTGTATCCAGTAGGCTGCGTCTTTACTTACTTGAGCACCACTGAGATGAAATTTATCTGGTTTTCGGTGTGTCCATCAGGCGGAATTCATGTTACTTTGTGTATGTCCTTGTGTTTGTACACACTGCCTCCGATCACCAAATCATTGAAAGCGCAGAAGTTTGGGAATAATTCTCCGTTCTCATTCATTTCTTCGAGAGCCTCTCGACCCATCATGAGTTCTCTTCTTGTATTACCTACTCCTAGTTTGGCTTGCATTCATATCGCCCATAAGGATTTTGATGTCGCCACTAGGAATGTTGTCCATTACTGTTTTGTAGTTGTCTATCAAAATCTTCCTTCTTCTCTCGTTCTACATTGCTTGTAGCACTGTGCATAGCAATGGATGATTGTAACCTTCCTTCCTTTTAAGTTGAATCTCGTTGTCATGATCCTGGATGATATTGGTTCCAACTGCATTAGAGCTTTGGCTACTGCTGGTGACATCATGACAGCTTCTCCCTCAGTGCGCTCGGGAATGTGAAACAAATAAAACAAAGTGGAGATATGTTGTTGAAGCCCTATGTTCTACTCGGAATTAAAGGGAACAATAATAATAATACTTCATTAGTTATGGTAGTTTTCAAAATGTTGTTCTTGATGAAATTCACACTGAAATGAATCGAAGTCCCTACAAAATGCAAAATCTGTGTATAAATATACTGTTGATTACTGGCTACTAGAAAGACGTCCTTAACTTCCAATGAAAGATCCTGCCCAGTGGGATTCACCGTGTCAGATTGAAGCAGATAATCACCTGTAGCATTCGTTGATGGCACCGTTATATGGTGAACTGACGGAGATTCAAATCCGTGGGTAACTGAATCCCAGTCCAGTAACTGGAATGGTCAGCTAACTGGTCAGCCTTTCATCAACATTGAAAGTTTTCTGAACATTTTTCATATTACATAATCTTATTCTAAACTCAGTAATCTTCACTGTTTCGAAATATTCTGATGACGTAAACAGTACTCCCAACTAGTTTTTATCCTTGTGCCATGTAAACACACATTCGACAAATGCTTATGCATAATCGTGATTGCACAGCTAAATGAATGGATTTACCGAAAAGAGGCTCCAAGCTGAACTGTTTGTTCCTATAACATAAGGATCTTGGGTTTGATTCCCAGTAGGGTTAAGTGTGCGTGTGTGTGTATTACTGGAGATTCCCAAACAAGGACAAAACAACTATCCAATATTTTCTGATTTTCAATAATTCTTTTATTCAAGTGTTGGTTTGTAGGGATTTGATTGGTTACAGGATTTCATCATAAGCTGACATTAGTTAGAGAACCATTAGAAAACCAACAGGGAGTACTGAACAGCTGTTTCGCTCTAGTTTGGGACTCTTCACCAGTACGCACCCACCAACACTGTTCGAACCCAGGACCTTCTGGTTACAAGGCGAGCTTTTATTGATGTTTATTCGTGACGAAATCTACAATGCAATTAATTAATGCAAATCCCCAAGATACCCAAATTCAGAATTCGTTAATGATTATTTTATCAATATCACAGTACATTTTTAATGTTGCGTAGAAATTCTATGAACCTTGAATTTTTCTTTCCAATTGTTATGATGATGATGATGATTTAGCTGATGTTGATGCAAACAACAGAAGTTATGATGAAGATGGCAATCCTAGAAGAGAAACAGTAGCTGGGAAAATTTCTGTCAGTGCAAGAGGTGGTCGTAAACCATTTTTCAAAAAGGTTAGTGTAAACAAATCCTCCAAATTGATGTTGTATCCTTTTAGTGCATATTACTTTTTTCTGTTAAATATTCTTATAATGAACACTTATGATTCGCTACTTGAATACTTCTAGTATACATCTGTGTGACCATTAAACAGTCATACAAAAAAACTATTTTTTCAGATACTTTTGATTATCTTGAAGTCAATTGGTGAGTGATGACTACCAGTGGAATCCAGGATGCGCATTTTGTCCTGTTTGGGACTCTTCTTCTGGGAGTACCTGCATTCTTCAGTGAGTGATGGTGTTCCCACCGAGGCTAGAACCTAGTGTTCATAGTTTCAAACGCCAAAGCGTCATATATTCACCATCCACCAATTGACTTCAGGTTACACGACCAGACATCGTCGAAGTATCTGCTCTAGGAGCCGACATGTCAACCTGAGACCTAGAGCTTCAGTTCAATCAATCGACGGGAAAATCTAGAATGAATTAAATAACTGTTGATTATCGTTGTATTTCGGAAGTATCAGTTTATTGGCAACATAATTTTAAGAACCAAACTGGACAAGTGTTTCTTTTCAAATCGAGACTCTTCAACCGTTTTGCTCCTAAATGCTACCGATTTAAATTCAAATCTAGTAACTGAAATATGATTTGTTTATTCTTCTAGCAGAATAGTCGTGGATCTGATCTCTCATGGGTTTACAAGTGTCTATTTTTGGATAGTCCCAAACTATGGTGATTAGGTTGTTGAGTACTTCTTGATTTAAAATGCTCTGCTAATTCATCTTGAATTTCGACTAAACTTATAGTATTACACTGTAAAATACGTCGATCTTTACTCATACAGGTTACTATTACATACTGTATACTGTTACTATTGAATTGGCACGGATTCTTGGAGGTGATAATTGAAAAACTGAAAATTATGTTATAGTACTGTAAGTTTGGTAGAATATTGGTAATTCGGTTATAGAATGCCTTGCCAGTCATTTGGTAAGTTTGAGTTCGATTCCCGGTTGACGCACTCTTAAACCTCACTTAACTGATAATAAGCCTAGAAAAGAGGTGACGTTGGGCTTGAGGCAAGCTGTTCCATTGCTACTGAGAACGAAAACTTAAAAGCTTAAAGTCCAGTGTTTCACCAGGGACCCAAGAAAGGAAAAAAGTTAGTTCGGACTATCTAACTATTTAGTACATATTAGTGTTCTACTTTGTGCGTTAATGGTCAACCATGCACGTGGTCCTGGGTTCGACCCTTGGCCGACTCATTCTTAAACCTTACTTAGCAGGTAATAAGCCCGATAAACAGGGAAAGTTGAACGTAAGGCTAGTAACCTCATCCTGTAGGAAATAAACACTACCGTTCCTGAAACCTCAAAATATGAAGCCATATGTCCCACTCGGAACGCAAAGGAATAATATAATCATAAATAAGTATTCTGCTTAAAAGTTATTGGAGCAGTAAGATGGTTAGCACAGATTAACGAAAAAATAGTGTAACTGAAATGAGCGTAGAATGTTGTTTAATTTTTCTGTTTCACGTAAGATTGAATATTTTTAAAAAATCTGAAATCTGCTTTGTTTTATGTACTAGTCAAGGATTCTATGATACAATACAATTGGTACCAATCATTTGAATATTTGTGTCATATTTAAATTTACATTAAACGTAAACTTACTACTAAACGACAACTGAATTAACTCCAAAAGTCTTCGGTAATAATCGACGTGTGCTAACCAAATTTGTTAAATAGTCATTAAGCTAAGATATAAAATTAGTACAGTTTGCTGTAATTTGGTGAGAAATGCTATAGGTTTAATTAAATGCTCGTTAAACGGAACTTTGGCAACGAACCAACAAAGAGCCTTTCACTCCACAAATATATCAAAGAAAATTAAAATGGATCAGCGAAACACTGAGGAGACCGTTGAGTGACATCGCCAGCCAGCCAGTCTATCGCTCGAATGGAAGTCAATAACTTGGAGTAGGTCTGAGGGTAACGTTAAGGTGATCCTATGAGGAGTATATTAGAGTTCATGGGCAATCGTACAGACAGATAAAGAGAACTGCAGATAACAGGATGAAACGAAAATGTTCTGTTGAAGTCCTGTGTTCCACTCCGAAACTATAATATAGATCACCCCAACAGTTCATTGCTAAAGTCGAAGACTTTAAAGAGCATTAGCCTCCTCATAGTTTCATATTCTACTTCTAAAATGAATATATACAATGAAGTTGAGGTCCTTCTGCTAATCAGTTCCTAATGCCTAATATAAAATGTCACCTACTACTTACTGAAAGTGAATGAATTACCTGACAAAGATAATAGAGAAGAATTGTAGCTCAACTGGATGATTTTCAATTGGTTGTGTTGTGATTTACTAAATTGAGTAGCTTTCGTCGTCCTTCTAGACGACATCTTCAGTGCAGATTTTAGTTATTCAACTAATTCAAAAACATGACATCCTACCATAGAATAACCCAGCTAATCAAAATTACAGTTATCAAGAAAGGAAGCCAGTAAAAATAAGGGTAATAATACTTATGAGCGTTCATTGAAAGCTCAAGTGAGAGAAAAATTACCAGCATATCCAGAAGTTTTTAAGATTTAATGCATCCTGCTGGTATCCACTTTACTTCACGATAACGAGTTCTTACGCATATTATGCTGTAATATCTTCCAATATCAATTTCGATTTTCTCATTCTCATGAAAGCAAACCAATTAAGTATGTCCCAGCAAAAAACAACACAACTCACACATTTATCAACTGACCAATCACATTTTATTCGAACATGACATTTTCGCCAAACACTTTTTTCAACACATTGCTAAAAAAGAGTAATAGCGTAGGCGGGGGGGGGGCAGAGAAAGAGGACAACATTCGAAAAGTTATAAACATACCAACTAAAGGTTTAAAGGAAGTTCCATTTTAGGAGTTTTACTTTCCAGAAGTCGCAGTCACATGGTACGCTTCTTTTCTTTCCTTTTACTGCCAACTTGATTAATGTAGTCCAGAAAATGTGTATTTTTAAGTGCTCTTGGAGTTTGTCTGCAGCGCAGAAACTTTCTACAATATTCTTTGATAATTCAGTTTATACATGATTTAAGCGAATCGATCTGATTTAGTGAATGGCATTTGAGTGTTCCAGCACTCAGTCGAACTCTGCTAAGACGTAAAGATTGTCAATCGGTTGATTTCAGTGTACTCAGGAATAAAGTTCACAGAAGATTTCGCTTTTTCTATTTTACTGAGCGAGCCGTTAACTGTACTTTAGGTATTCACTGAACACCTTTAACGCAGACTGGTGCTCTGAAGATTTCTATATATGCGGAAGCTCCCCATTTTCGACATTTAGAATACAAAAATATTATACCCTCGCCCTGATTTTTTCGTGTCAATCACGTTAGAATTAATAATAATAGAATAGCAAACAGAATATCAAATAAAATTGAGGAAATTTTCACAACATATTGATGGACATTAGAACTTTGATGGCCATGAGGGTAAGGACAGTGTCTAACTAAGCTTCTTTTGGATACATGGGTTGGATTTCTTAATGTGCATCCCAACGGCCTAAGCAATATGTAGTAGACGAACTCTTAAGGTGAAGTTAAGATTAGTAAATGACTTTCAAAGCCTTGTTGACATCAATCATGTGTTCCGTATCCACAAGATGAGATAGAATAGCGCTATGAATAAAGTATACTTAACCATGCTGGGTAATGTTCGGAAATCCAACGAGAAACACGCCTTATTGTACGACCTATGCAGCCTTAAGAGTTCGTCTACTACATAATATTGCTGAGACCGTTGGAATCCACCTTAAGATATCTAACTTATGTATCCAAAAGAAGCTGGTTCAGACACTTTCCTTACTACCCCCTGGTCATCAAAGTTTCAATGATACTCAATTTTTTGTGGGAATTTCCTTAATATTCTATTTGCTATTGCTTTCTTATGCTTATTGTAATTTATGCATCTTCAGTGAACTGTAATTCCATTGATCTTACTTAAAAAATCGATAGATATTTAGTGTAACATTTTTGCCCACTTTTACGCTTGTGAAGTTAACAAGTAAATACATAATTGTTTGTTAGTGTCATTGAAGTATTCTTATTACTCTTATATTCAAAGGAAGTGTATCGATTTTTTATAGTAGTATATAGATAATCACGTGTTTTTTATAAATGTAACTTCTTCCTTTTACTATGCTCACCTTGATATACTGTGTGTTTGTATATGCTGTTGCGAACATATGGGAGACCAGTTATCAAGTGTTCGTTTGCAGTGATTTAATTGGTCACAGGTTTGATTATTAGCTGGGAAGTCAGGGAATACTAGACGGCTGTTTCGTCCTAGTCTCAATATGCATCCGCCAGGGCTCGAACCCAGGACCTCTCGGTTACAAGGCGATTTCATAGACCATTCAGCCAATGGTAGCTATGATCCCAAGATCCATGAATTTCAACTTCTGCTAATTCGCGATATATGCCGCATTGATTGATGTAGTTGCACCGAAATGCTTCGTCTTTTTGATAAGTCAGCTCTTGGTGTGTGTGTGTGTGTGTATGTGTGTGTGTAACAGCGGAATACTCTGGATTTTAGTAGCGAATTAGTAAAATGCAGGAAAATTACATTTAAGTCTCTTTTTGCAATCGTTATTTGTATTCTGCTTCGTCACTTAATTTCTCGGAAAACGTCACCAACGTACCGCTTACAAATTCTTGTTAGTAGCATGTGGCACACTAGTAAAGACTCTACAACGATACCTGATGGTTAGTCTAATGTCATTTGTTTGATAGTGGATAGTACTAGCAGAATATTTTGATGCAATGTAATCGCTTAACTGATACCCTGATGCATAAGATGTGGCTTTTGTGACCTCTTGGATAACTCTGGAATTGAAAACGGTTGGTACTGAGTTCAAGTCTGAGTGGGTATACCACCACTCACTCACTCACTGGGGATGCAGGTATATGCAGATGACGAGCCCCAATAGGACAAAACCACACCTTGGATTCCACTGCTGGTCACCATCAGTCAAACGTTTCACTTTCATTTATGTCAGTAAAAGGTTTGAGCATTGTGGAATAGATCAAATAAAGTATAATTATACTTCAATGGTTTACGCACAATGATAAGTTTTGTTAATGGTAATTTTGCTCGAAATATTACCAATAACAAAACTTATCATTGTGTGTAATTTATTGAAATATAATTATACTTTATTTCCACTTTCACTCATGAGCTTTCTTTGGTTACTTAAATTTTTTGGAAAAAAAAAGCTTTTAAATCAACTAGTAGTTACTTTTATTGATCTCGTTGTGATCAGAAATGGAATAAAAGACATGCATTCAGTATCTCTGTGAGTTTTGGTCTTTCTAATTAATTTCGATTCCATCATACACCCTGCGTAGAAAAAAAGCAAAATCTGTTTTGAATTCTATTGGTAACCACAATGAGAAATACAGTCAAAATGTTACTTTAAGCAATACCAAGGCATTCATACAACAGCCCCTTAGATTTCCTCTTAGAAATCGATCGATTGGTCAAACTAAACTTTTAAGTTACGCGTAAAATTCAGAAACAGGGGATTCGTTTAAAGTACGATGCTGTATTATTTATAAAATAATGTATTTAATACACAAACCTCAAATTGTCTAAGACCGAATGCTGTCGAATGCACCGTCACTGTACTTCATAAGAAGTAACAGCAGAGCTGTCTCAAGGGTAATCCATGGCCAGATTAAACAGTGTGGGAATGTCCGGATAAAGAATAAGAAGATTAGAATGAACAGTGTTCAACAAATAGCAGAATAGAAGTAAAACTTGTACATCAGATACCGTTTCACTGTAAGAAGATTATTACTATATATCGAATAGAATGTGTTGAACATTAAATGCCATAAATAGTTTCGGCTACTGAGTGGTGACGTAGTTAGCAAAGTGAAAACCTATACCACTGATTACTAATAAGTAGTATAAAGTTGAACATAATTGTAATAGTAACAAAGGAATTAGGAAGTTCATATACAAAAAACTGATTAGGCGATGCAAACCTGTATTTACACTTTTTATTCAATAGCTATTCAACTTTAATAATATTACTAATCTAAGTGTAGTTGGTTCAAATTATTGCCGAAAAAACTTAATGTTATTATGCAGTGTATTCGATAGAAGCCATATAATCGAACTTGGTAATTCATAACTGACGTACTATACCATTTGTTAACTTACTTCAGTGGTGTATCTCCATTCCATTCAGTCCACTAACATCACTTCTAATCAACTCTACAAACTTTCAATTCTCCTTCACGTCGATCTCTAAGGCACACCCAACTTGTCACTTCTCATTCGTTTTCTGTTCAAGGGTCTGCTTTAGGTGTAGTGTCTTTTGAAAGTCTCCGCAGTTTATGCCCAATCTCTCTCTACTTCCCACTGCATATTTGTTGTGCTAGTCATAAGTTATTGTTGTCTGGTCAACTGCCTGTCAGAGTCCCCTGTTGCTTGTACTTTTCGGACAACTATTCAAAGTGCAAGCTAGAATTTAGTCGTATGAGTCCTTATTTTTGAGGTTATTTGTGTTTGCGTGTGTGTGTGTGTGCTGAATTAGAACCTGTAGTTGTATGTTGATGTTTAAACATGCGCGGGATAATATTTAAGCTTTGAAACGAAATAATACGAAGAAGAATAGAAATTGCTCAAATTTCATTCGTCTATTTCCGCCTATTCCTCTTCCTCTTCTTTTCATGTACCGGAATAATCATATCAGATTAAGGAATCAACTTAAGACACAAAGGAGTATGTTTTAGAAAAGATTATTTTAGCTATAAATGTCGGAATCAAGTTCAGATTTAATACTTTGGAAAGATATTTGAACATTAGGTATATGATGTATTGTATTTCTCCATAAATTAACGAAGGAATGAAAAATAAAACCCTGTCACATTTACTGACGTTTAGCTATGTAACTCTTCTAATAGCCTTTATCAAGGTCATATTAAATAGGCTTCTACAAAATCTCAAGTTATATATAATAACTCAGTCATAGTTCTTCTCTAGGAGGTGATTCTAGGTTGTCAAGTGGATGATCTCCTTAAGATAATAAAACACACTCAGACACAGACGAATGAATTTGATTAATGTATGAATTAGTGAAAATTATTGCTCATCATATTCGAGTTTACTCTGGCAATTTGCATAGGGAGGACTGTTAGATGCAGATCAAATTTTGTCTTAATCGATAATCACTGTTCAAACAATTCAAATTCGATCTTATGTGATCCACTTCTGCAATGATGCGTCCTTTGTGGTTTATGAATAATTTCAATACTGTTGTAATCAATCTTGACAGTGTGTAGACTGATGACCGAGGAGTTTTCAGGTTTCATGAGATTTCTCTGTGACTGAATAGAGGCTCTACAGTGTTCGTTACTTCTGACCATGATTCTTCCAGAGGTTTGTCCAGATTAGTCCTACTGAGCACTAAATAGCAATGAATACAGGTTTACTTTAATTAAACACTAGGTAGTAACTAATGCCACTTGTGTAGTCCTTCGTTTGGTGCAGACTGAATTATATCAGTCATATTTTCAATATGGCCACTATTTTAAATGGCTTGCCATCACGGTACACTCTGATTTGTTGTTGTTAGATGTTCGGATGCATTCGTCAGGATGCTTTGAACCTAGCTTTCGTGCCTGTTGACATTCACCAGTCAGCAGGGCGTATCTGCATTTTCCAAGCAACACATGTCCCTCGTGAGATCCGAACCCGGGTCACCCAGTCCAGCTGCAGTCAGAGACATTAACCAATAACCTATGATTACAAAAAAGTCTCCAATTATCCTTATTCTTTATGATTTTCTTTTATCAATGAGAATATACAACCGGAAATGTGTTAAGAGTAAAGATGTAAATGTACAAAGGTACAGATAGATTGTATGCTGTTGACATTATTCCGAGCATTTGTGTTTTCTGTTGTATATTCCTATGTTCCTCTAGGAATTAAAGGAAATAATAATAATAATAATAATAATAATAATAATAATAATAATAATAATAATAATAATAATAATAATAATTGTATATACCTATATGAAATGGACACTAGACATTATTGTGTTTGTATATGTCCAAATCAAGTTTACATTTAATAATTTGCATATATATATTATCTGACAATTGGATACATGACTTTTTTATATTAGAAAAGGATTTGTATTGCAAAATAAGTATTTGAGGAATTGTGTTCACAAAATCAACGCCAAAATTAAACATGACCGAAAATATGGACCACAACAATTAATATTATCTACGTCAGATAATATGTGAAGATTACTCAGTAAATGTAAAACATCAGACACACCACAAAAAGAAACAATCTTGTTCATGTGAAAGGCTAAATTCCGAAAAGTTACACAGCCTGACTGTGTTTATAAAATAGAATGCTTTCGATGTGATGCAAAATATCAGACGAACCTCTCTTGAAGTCAACGTCAAAAAAATGAACAATATAGGGAATCTATTCCACCAACTAGAAATCCAATGGAACTAGATACAGTTACAAACTACTCGGTCGTAAGTTCACACACTACACTGATGTCGATAGTTGTTATCTCCCTACCCATGTATTCTATTTCAATATCTCATCTGTGTATAACTTTATACTACTTATTACTAGTAAGTAGTATGATTTTATATTTTGTTTACCATAACGTCTCTCCATGACCATAGTTAGTGATTTCCATTGGAATTTATCCGACTTATCGCGTAAAGATTTTAATTATCTTCCTATGGATAAATAGTGTTCGCCTTAAATTTCTTCCTTAATGTTCCTCTCTGTGTTGAGCACTTTTTATTCGAATCTATTCGCGCGTCGGTTATTTCTGACTGAGGATCACATTTGACACAGCTTTGCTGTTTCATATTACTTATTGACGTATGACAGTTTGTTTGACGGCACACACCATAGACGACATGTAACAATTAGAGGTTTGTATATTGTACTAGTATGTTTATGTGTACTACAGTATCATATTTTGGACAAATCTTACGTTTCGGATTTTACGCGTTACTCAGATGTTTTGTTTAATTAATCGATCCCCATTTTATCTCTAGATTTTTGGAAGAAATCTACAATAATAATAGAATTATTCAGGAAAATTTAGAAAACTCCTAAGAATGTTCCATCACAGTAGCACTTCACATAGACTAAACTTCAGATTGTCTAAACAGATTTGATAGATTAAAACAAAATTTGACCGGGGAATCGCAAAATAATATTTTTCTATAGGGAAGTACAGAGAGAATTAGAACTTTCAGTGTACGTAGCTGTTTACACGTCTTCGATTTTGCTTCCTTTTGTCTCATTGCTAACTTCAGATTGTTTAGGTAACCTTTTTAAATTGTACAATACTTTTGGCTTTTAAGTTAATTTACATTCTCTGTTAGTTGATTGACGATATTTATTAGATAGAAATGGTCGGCCTTCGTTGACATGAGTTGCCTTCTCCTACAGATACTTTGACGATGTCTTAGGATTAACGTGAAGTTATTTTGGGTGATGGCGATGCTCATTTCCTCCTATTTGAAACTCGTAGGCTGGATATGGTTTCGAGTTCCAGAGGGAAACACTACTACTCACTATGGCGGGTGCAGGTACATCCAGATGAAGAGTCCCAAATAGGAGGAAATGTGAATTCTAATCAACACCAACCAAAATAAAAGTACAATATTCTACCAACGTTTCTTATATGTATCTTTTTCATTTTAGAGTGACAATTTACCTCCATATGATGTTGTACCATCTATGCGTCCTGTTGTTTTAATTGGTCCATCATTAAAAGGCTATGAAGTGACTGATATGATGCAGAAAGCTTTATTCGACTTTCTAAAACGACGTTTTGAAGGAAGGTAATTTTCTCCTTGATATTGCAAAGTTTTGCGTTTATTTCATCTTTATTTTGAATTTTTAAGAAATAGTTAAGTCAGTCAGCTGCTTTGAAAGGAAGAAGAAACAGTCAAAAAGTAAAGCGAAGTGTCATCATGGTATACTTGGATGAATTGAAATATTAATGCAGTTTGCTATAATTATATACTCAATGCCATCGAAGTTTCTCGGAAAGAAAAAGGCAGCAAAGGTGGTAACAAGATATTGAGGTACATAAACAAAGAGATTACATGTAACACTACAATATTGTTAATAAACAAGTGATACATGCAGAAAAACATATTGTAAGTTTACCTCATTTAATTTGGTGTCAGACATATAAAGCATGGTACTGTATACTGGAGGCCAAAGCTCACTAGTAGCTGAAGTTTAATATGAATTTGGGACTACATTGTCTTCAAAGTTAAGTGGGCCATACTTCTATTATCATTTTGTCAGAGTGATGCCAACAATGTTATAGTTTGCCTGAATACTGTAATTTATTTGCCCAATATATTCAGAACAAATACCTGTTATTGACAACGCGCATATAAGGGATAGTTAAAAATACGCGTTGAGGAATTATAAGCTGTCCAGTACTCCTGGTTTTCAGTGATTTCCTAAATGATATCAACCTGAGATCAAAATTGAAAACAATCAAATCCCTACAAACTGACACTTGAAAATTAGTCTGATACTCACTACTAGCAACTGACTGCAGCATGAAGTTGTTTGGAGTTCTAGTGAAAAGTCGTTAACAGCTGCGTCTAACAGGTCGTGTCTGAGGACAAATACTCGCCGACGACATTGGCTAGTGGTCACGCTAGGTCGTGAATTGGCAGAAGTTAGAATTCAGTGGCTTAGTGGTCTACGAGCTTGTCTTGTAACCAAAAGGTCCTGGGTTCGAACCCTGGCTTTGGGTGTGTTCTGGTAAAGAGTCCCAAGCGCTGGAACGAAACAGTTGTTCAGTACTCACAGGTTTCCCAATGGCTGTCTAACCGATGTCAGCTCCTAATGAAATCCTCTAAGTAATTTAGATATCCCTGGGGTTTTGTGCTCCATGAATCTATTTGACCCTTGCCTGAGGCTTTGAACTATGTAGTCCAGCTCGGAATCATTACGGGATGTTAGATATACTAAATCATTTTGTTTAATGAACTCCACAAGATTCTTTAACCGACATAGTTTACTTCTAAGTTAGTTTACGGGTTTTAATACCACAATTATCTCTGCTTTGCTAGGAATCACGCCTAATTGTCATTGATTAATTCAAACTGCAGCTGTATTTATTAAACCGACTGAGGACATGCTCCATATAGGAGTGACTTAATAAGTCTACCGCACATCTGCAAAATGTTGTTGCCTTTTATGATAAATGTGAAAGTAGGACACGGACTATAAAGATCAAATTTCGAAGTTGTGCTGCTATTGTCGATATGATTATGAGTTATAAATTGTGTTCGAAACGTTATCTCGTAAATAATACTTTTCCAATGTGTGATATATCTCATGAACGAATTCATAAGAAATTATGTAGTATCACAGTGTCCAAGATCTACACATTTTTAAGCATATAACTGTCATGATTGGCATGTACTGAAACAAATTAATTCATCTTAATTGTCCTTTATTTTCTAAACGAAGTTATTATCGTAATCGCTTTTCTATATTTATTCTTCTACAGAATTATTATAACAAGAGTGACAGCAGATATCTCTCTGGCCAAAAGATCTTTATTGAATAATCCAACAAGAAGAGCCATTATAGATAAGTCGTCTGCAAGAAATCAGTCACTTGGTAAGTTATTTAAATAATATTTACAAGGAAGTCTGAAATGAACACTTACACCTTTTTCAGCTATCTTGTATCGAAGTGTTAATAGATACACTTTTGAAATTACTTCATTATATTATTATTATTATTATTGTTCCCTTGAGTTGCGAGTGTAACATAAGGCTTCAACAACATATCTCAACTTTCTTCTGTTTTCTACCATCCTCTTCATCTGCCTGGCTTCACGATTTCCGAAACTCTCTCATCTCCTCCTCACACATGACCTCCTCCATGTCACCTTCGCGTTGACGGCCCATTCGTCGCTTCCCATTTGGGTTCCACTCTAGTGATGGCCTGCATTGTGCGATATCATTCAATGGTTTTCTCACCATATGCTCGACACATCCATCTCCATTTTCTTCTACATATTTGTTGAGAAATCGGCTACTGATTGGTTTGTTCCCACATTTTCTTGTCATCTACAAACCCAATAGGAAGAAATGTGTTGGGTGTGGTGTTCCAACGGGGGAAGTGAAGGCTTGTTGGCAGTCGAGAAAATATCTGAAAGTGTAAATAGATAGCCAAGTGCTATGCAGATGTGCCACTTAAGTCCTATATTATATTCTTATTCTATACGCATCGTTATCGAATAGAGCATAAAACAGCAGTGAAGCCTCCACCTCAACTTCCTCTACTTCGAAAAGGCCTTCGACAGACAACGTTGACTGAGAAGTAATTTGGAAACTGTTTCAACACTACGGCCTGCAGTGCTCAAGTCTTTATCAACCTCATTCAACAGCTGGACATAAGACAATTCCACGTGTCAGGTGATCCACAACGGAAAACTCAGTGAGACGTTCAAAGTACATACAGGAGTAAGACAAGCTGACTGACTATTACCATCGATGGTATTCTTAATTGTGGTGGACTGGATTATGCGTCAGACCTTGCACTGGGTGTGAGAAGACAGGAATGCTATGAACCGATAAGAAGACTCTAGATCTTGATCTCGTAGATGACATATTTTTAATATCACACAAACTTGAAAACCAACAAACTGGCTGTAGATGCGGAAACAGGACTGCAGGCGAACGCAGAGAACACGGAGGTCATGAAGATAACCAACCAACAGCAACAGCAACTACAACCAGCACCAATCACCATCAGCGGGAGAGATTTAACAGAGGTCGCCTCCTTCACTTATCCGGTTAGGAAGCATCGTTCCAACTACAGGCGGAATGGACGAAGATGTCAAAGCCAGTCAGAATCGGAAAGGCAAGATATGCCTTCATCAACCTGAAACCAATTTGGAAATCTTCCGCAATCAGCATAAGGAACAAGATTCGCATTTTCAATACCAATGTGAAGTCGGTCACTGCTTCTATACGGGTCAGAAACTTGTACTGCGTGTAACGAAAAGGATTTCCAACAGGTTGCCGACTTTCATGAATAACCGCCTTCACTGGCTCCACACTGAAGATCGAATGGCCAGAAAGAATAAGTAATTGAGCACACGTTGAGGAGACTGCCGAATGATATCGCGCGCAATGCAGGCGATCACTCCAGTGGAATCCAGATGAGAAGCGACGTGTGGGTCGTCAATGTGAAGATGACATAGAGTAGATCGTGTGAGGAGGAGATGAGAGATTATGGTCAATCGTGGACCCAGCCAGATGAAGAGAACAGCAGAAAACAGATTATTATTATTATTGTATCCTTTAGTTCCTAGAGGAACATAGGGCTTCAGCTGCGCACCTCCATTGACTTCTGTTTTCTGACAACTTTTTCACCCCGCTCCAGGTCTGTCCACATGCTTTCATCTCCTCCTCGCATGACCTCCTTCAAGTCACCTTGGGACGACCAACTCGTCGCTTCCCTTTTGGGCTCCACTCGAGCAATGGCTTGTCTAGTGATATCACTCGATGGTTTCCTCAGAGTATAGCCAATCCATCTCCACTTCTTCCTGCCTATTTGTTTCACAATCGGTTCCTGGTTCGTTCGCTCCCAGAGATCCCTGTTGCTGATCTTTTCTGGCCATCTGATCTTGAGTATTGAGCGGAGACAACTGTTGATGAAGGTCTGAAGTTTCTTGGAGATGCTCTTTATGACGCACAGTGCAAGTCTCTGATCCGTATAGTAGCACTGACTTTACATTGGAGTTGAAAATCCAGGTCTCATTTTTGATGCTGAGTGCTGTTGACCTCCACACAGATTTGAGAATAATGAAAGCTTGTCTTTCTTTTCCGAATCTGGCTTTGATATCCTCATCAGTTCCGTCCGCCTGTAGTTGAAACGTTGCTTCCCAGGTAGATGAAGGGGGCTGTTTCTTTCAGGTTCCTCCCATTTATGCTGGCTGATTGTTGTCTGTTGTTGCTGTTGATGTTGGCCAGGAATCTTCATCACCTCTGTTTTCTCTATGTTCACTTGAAGTCCTATCTTTGATGCTTGTTCTGCCAACTTGTTGCTTTTCACTTGCATATCTTCCAGTTTGTGGGAAATCAGACATATATCATCGGCGAAGTCCAGATCCTCCAAGCCTTTTGTGTGAGTCCATTTTATGCCTGTTTCTTCATTTCCCGTTGTCTGTCGCATTATTCAATCTACTGCAATCAGGAAGAAAAAAGTGGATATGTGTTGTTGAAGCCCTATGTTCCATTCGGAACCCAAGGGAATAGTAATAATAATAATTTCAAGACACTACTTCTGTATGGTGCAGAGACTTTGTGCATGTCAATAGCCTGCTGCAGACTTTCATTAATAGCTGCTTTCTCTCTGTACTGAAGATCAGATAGTCGGTCAGAAAGGATAAGCAACAAGAAGATGTGGTGGTGTACCAGCCAACAATTTATTGCCTAATAAGTATGCAGAATGAAATGGAGGTAGATTGAATATAAGCACTGAGTAACACCTATAACTGACGTTACACACCAGCCATGCCCTCGAGTGGGTCCTAGGCAGAAAGTGATGAGTTGAACACCTGTGGGTGACATGGAGAAGAAATCTTATGGCCTGTCGTAAAGTTAGTTGAATTTGATTGTAGAGGATTATTTGGCGCAGAAATGTGTCACTGAGGTGCTATTTTCCACTTGGAATTCAATAATATGTTAACTAGTACACCATACATTTAGTTTGCTAACAGTGGATGAATTTCGTTATTTGGTTAATGTATCTTTGTGATATTATTTTATTTTTATAATGCATAATTTTGTATCAAATAATATTCTTAACGTATTTTCCTTTTGGTCCCATTCATTAAAGAGGTTCAACAAGAAATTGAACGTATATTCGATTTAGCACGGACACAACAACTTGTTGTACTAGACTGTGATACAATTAATCATCCAAGTCAATTAGCTAAAACTTCACTTGCACCTATTACTGTTTATTTAAAAATTAGTTCAACAAAGGTATTACAACGTTTGATTAAAACACGCGGTAAATCTCAAGCGCGTAATATGAATGTTCAAATGGTTGCAGCTGAAAAACTTTTACAATGCACTAATGTAAGATTATACAATGCTATTCACTAGCTTTTTTTCTTTTTACTTATTAATTCTTGAACATTTTTGTAGCTGATGTTAAAGAATGTCAACAGGAACTAACCACAATCAATCAAAGTAAATAAAGGGATAAAGGTGGTAAATCATATTAGATCATGATTGTGGTTCATCTATTACGCTGTCGGTTTGTTTCTGATTTGTAGGTTTTGATTGTTGTGGACGTGCCATAACGTGTATATGAGGCGACATGATGTCCTAAAACAGGTTGAAGCAGCTTTACAGTAATGCACCTGGTTTCCCCTTACCTCCCTAACTAATGTTGCCGCAGAAAATCTAACAACTGGAATTAATCCAGAATCCACACAAATTCTAAAATCTACATATCAATCGCCAGCTCACTGATGGCTGCTGTATGCATTTCCTGAAGCTGAGGTGAGAACTCATGACCTGCTGGGTCTACCATGTCATAGTGAAGTGCGTGCTCATCGAGAGGGAAAAGTTAGGATTCATGTGTCACTAAATTCTAGTCCAAGTGGCTGAGAGGTCGATGAGTTCTGTCTTGTAACGTTGAAGGTCCCTTGTTCGATTTCGGGTTGAGTCGGATGTATGTTCTGATAAAAGATCCCAGAGTCGGACGAAACAGCTGTCCAGGGCTACCAGCTGGTTTTCAATGATCTTTCTGAATAATGTTGGTTCGTGGCGAGAATCTAACAGTTGCAAGTAATGCTACCTCACAATCAACACATGCTTATTAATTTCCTTCATTATGATTAGTCGCCCAGCGTCATTAAAAAATTTCTCATACCGGCTGCTATTCTTTAATATTGTACATCTTTCTGTTACTTGCAGCCTCAGTATTGTGAACATTTTACTGATTGTATTTTAAGATAGCTACCTAGTTAATATAAGCAGGAAATATAATCATAAATGACTTTAAAATATCCCAGTTATAGTAACTTTCAAAGAGTTTATGGAGTCAAACATTAAATTATCAATCTTTCGGTTCTTGCTGTTTTCTAAGCAACTGAAAATGGCTACTGAGCTCTAGAGAAAACCGAAGAACATTTTCTTTATTTTAAAAGACATCGTCAAAGACTCAGTCGGTGTAGTCACATTTACTAAAACATATGAATAATAAAGTTAAACTACATCACTAATACATTAACCCAGAGATGGATCTATTTCAGAAACAGGAAAGTAAAATCAAGCAATAATATCCTGTGAAAATTCAAGATTCTCACAAGATATTCTAAGCAAGAAGGATTTAAGCAAGATGTGGTTTTCAGTAATTCTTCCCTTAGAATCTCTTCTTTTTCTTTCCTTGTTTTACGAGTGGAACATAGGGTTCAAGCTTTTAGCTTTAAAATTTCAATGGTGGTGGTGTCTTCTGTAGAATGGGAATACTAACATCACAGCCAACTTTCTCTTTTTTCCGATGTTGCTATCAACTAGGCGAGGTTCTCTGCAGTCCTCCTTAGCTGGTCCCATGACTACCTATAATATCTTAACTCCTCGTCACACGATCTCCACGTCACCTTTGAACTCCCAACTCGTTATTCCTCATTCGAGTTTCAGTCAACGGCCTGGCATGTGATGTCACTCAACGGTATGCTTAGCGTGTGTTCGATCCATCTCCATTTACTTCGGCATATTTATTAATCAACAGGTTCTTGATTCATTCGTTCCGAAAGTTTCTTGTTGCCTATCCTTTCTGACCATCTAATCTTCAATATTGAGAAGAGGAAGATATTGATGAAATTCTCCAGCTGATTGTTGGAAATGCCTGACGGGACACCGTTAGTTACTGGATTACATAGAAGCACTCAATTGACACTAGCGTTAAAGATCCGAATCTTGTTTCTTATACTGAGGGCAGTGAATTTCTAGACTTATTTCAGAGTAACGGTGGTTTGTCTTTCTTTTTCTAATTCTGCCTTTGATATATTTCTCATTTCTTTTGCAATCTGAGCAGTATCGCCAGCTTTAAACATCGTTTAAACATTCCATGTCATCATGCTTATTTTCTTCTTTCGATGAAAGAAGACAAATTAGCCGATTTGCCTCCATGAAGGCTTTCACTAGCCCGTGTCATTTTGTCTCTGTTATTTTTGAGTATTTTATATGCTTATACTTTTCAATTTTGTCTGTTATGTGTCATATAAAAGAAGAGACGTTCAGTGAAGAGTTGCTCTCTTCAGCGATATCATTCTGAAGATGATCAATCTCGTATATATGTAGGAAATTATCTTGGCAATAAAAGGAATATTTTCAAAGATGTGTCATTAGATTTGTAAAATAAAAGGATTCTCCTTAAAAATGGTTACCCCGAACGTTTCATCACAAAATCCATGAAGTCTAAACCACTAAGACCATCCACACTTCCTGCTCATAAAAGACTTCTATACCTGAATCTAGAATTCAATGGAGACTCAGTGGCAGAAATACTGAGAAACCGCCTGTCCCACTCATTGAAGAAGACATTCTTCGCGTCTGGACTTTGACTAACTTTCCTTACAAACCCAACGTGAAGTATAAGCTATCACTGCTGCTCCTGTGGAGCTACGTATGTCGCCCTTACTCAGAGTTTACTATTCGAATGTATCAACGAACACCTAACCTCATGGCTTTATAAAGGAGAAAAAAGATCCTCCCAGTCTCACCAAATTCCCCCCCCCTTCCCTTATCATCACTTTTGTTAACTTGACTGTCGTCCTATGTTAGTTGAGTCCCACTCAGTCTCATCAGTTATATTGCGTCAACCAATCTACTTATTTGATTTGATTTTATCTGAAACGTGTAATGTATTGGCGCAACACATTTCGGACATTCTGATCACTTACGTACTTGTCATGCACAGTTTTTATAGAAGACAAGAAGGCATGAATCTGACCTGTATTGTAATTATTCATGCCTTGTTGCCTTCTATAAAAACTGTGTCTGACAAGTATGTGTATGATCGGAATGTCCGAATAGTGTTGCGCTAATACATAACACGTTTCAGATAAATTACGTCTTCTTATTGTGTTGTCGAAATTCATAAGGGGCACTAATTGCTTTAGATTTTATTTCAGTTTTTACCACATGAACACTATTTATATTAAGTAACCTGTTATCCTTGAAATTTATAGTGACACACCCTTGGAAATATTCCTCGTGTTAAGAAGATAATTTAGTATGTATATGCGCGATTGTGAAACCTGAGAACGTCTTTTCTTTTGTGTTATGTATGCACTTGTCATTAGGTTAATTTACCTAAATAAAAACAGTTTGTTTCATGTTCCCTAAATGATTTAAGTTTAAAAGTTTTCTATTATTTAGGATGTATTTACCCAATTTACTATATGACATAACGCCATTACATATCAATTTTCTCTGTTTAGGATCAATTTGATGTAATTTTAGAAGAAAATCAACTTCCAGATGCATGTGAACATTTAGCTGAGTACTTAGAAGCCTATTGGAGAGCTAGTCATCCAACAGGGAAAGTAACAAAAGCAGAACGTATTCTTGGCATTGGTACTGGTGGTGGTGGTAATCCCAGTCAACCTGTTGAAAATGATACAGTGCATGGAATGCATCGACGTCAAAGTAATGGATTTAAAAATGATAAAAAGAAATGTAAAAATGATCAAGACCACCATCAACATCATCATCATCAAGGATCTAAGCCTTATCCAAATTCAACTAATTCACCAAGACGAGATTCACAACCGTATGATAATGATGCACGTTATCGGGATGAACATGAACAATTATCTGACGGTAAGTCCATAAGACTACATTTCTCGGAAGTGTCTAGGACTATACTGGTCTCGTCAGTTGATTATGACAACGTATTAACTAACATCTGTGTTATTAATTGAGGGGAAAGTACGTCATTGGTTCAGTAGCAAAATGTTCACCAACCACGTGGGGGTCGGGTTCGATTTTCAGCCGAGTCACTCTTAAGCATATTCTAGTTGGTAGTAAGCCCTAAACAAGAGGGAAGATTGGGTGTGAAGCTAGTAACTTCAGAACTCAAAGTGTGATGCCCTAGGTTCCATTGGAAACTGAAGAAATGAAAAAGAACTTTCATGAATACTATTCGCTATAGATTGTATGAATCCAATTTTCTTGCAAGCACTTACCGACAGCGAATGAAATGAAGACTAATACAGATCTCAATAAGTATATAACATAGGATAAATGGTGAGTTTTCAGGGGATAAAATCTGAGAGAAGATACAAGTGTTTCACCAGTCGGAGAAAATGGTTAAGCCAAATGGAAACAAACTACACTCACTAGATTAATTGTTAATATATATATATATATATATGAAAAAACGTAGTCAGCCTACATATAAGATGCTGTTGCACAAATAATGGCTAATGTGTATCGCGAAAATTCCACGATAGTATTTGAAGCCAAAGAGTTGTATATTTTACCCTAAGACCTGAAGTTGTTCTTCTAATTAACGCTATAGTGTTAACTACACTTAGTTTTGCCACTGTCCTGTCACTGTTCCTTATGTGCTAAACTTATATTATTATTATTCCCTTTGGTTCCTAGTGGAACATATGGCTTCAACTGCACGTCTCCACTTGTTTCTCTCTTCTGCTGTACGTTTCACCTACATCCATGTTAGTCCATACTGTCTCAATTCCTCTTCACTTCACACGATTTCCTCCATGTTACCCTTGCACTGGCGTCCCACTCGCCTCTTCCCTTTCGAGTTCCACTCAAGCAATGGCCTGACGTGCGCGCGATGTCACCCAGCGGCCTCCTCGGCGAGTGTCCAGTCCATCTCCACTTTCTCCTGCATATTTGATGTTGTTGGGCGATTGGTTCTTGTTTTGTTTGTTCCCAGCCAGTGTTTCTTGTTGGTGATTCTCCGACCTGATCTTCAGTATAGATCCAGCGAAGACAGTTAGGTGTTGATGAAGGTCTGCAACAGGCTGTTGGAAATATTCTTTGTGACTCGCCCGCCAAGTTTCTGACCCGTATAGAAGAACTGACTGACTTGACGTTTGTATTGAAAATCCGACTGAATTTTGTTGTTGATGGTGGCTGAGTCACGAAGATTTCCAGATTGGTTTCAGGTTGATGAGTGAATGTGTTCCTCGCCTTCCCGATTCTCGCTCGATTTGACATCGTTTTCCGTTTCTGTGGCCTGTAGTTGAGACAATGCTCCCTAGATAAGTGAGTGAATGAAGTAACCTCTTTTAAATCCCTCCCGTTGATGGTGGGTGATTGGCGCTGGATGTCGCTGCTGCTGTTGTTATTGGTTGGTTATTTTCATAACCTCCGTGTTGTCTATGTTCACTTGGAGTCCTGTCTTCTCTGGCTGCTTCTTCGACCAGTTTGTCGGTTTTCGCTTGTAAGTCTTCGATTTTGTGTGATATCAAACATAAATCATCCGCAAAATCCAGGTCTTCTTAGTTCTTCAGGTCGATCCAGGATATCGCCGTTTTCTCGTTTCCCACTGTCTGACGCATAATCCAGTCCACCACAATTAGGAATTGCTAAACTTCCGTAGCAATCTTTAATTCAATTTTGATTTTTCTGTTGATTGACTGGACCGAAATGTTCGGCTCATGTTGGCTTTTTGTGTGGATGCTTCGATTACATCTGAAGAATAACTTGGATCAATTTGGTGGATGGATGGTGATTAGCAAACGAGGTAGTGATCTAGTGGGTAACTCTCTGACGTTTGAGATAATAGGGACTGAGTTCTAGCCTCAGTGGGAGCACCATCAATTACTGCGAATACAGTTATATCCAGCTGTCGAGTCCCAAATAGAACGAAATGTGCATCCTGTATTCCACTGCAAGTCACCATCCACGAAATTACTTTATTTTAATTCTATAACAACCGCTTTAACTATCACAGATCTTTTAGGCCACTGACATATACACACTGAACCACCAAGTCAATGTATCAGATTGCATCCAGGGATAAATGGGGGTGATGAATGGTGAATAGTTATGCATTCTTTATTCATTTCACAAATTTAGGCAAAATACTTGGTGCCTACTGGTAAATTGAGACCTTTAAAGCAGTTCAGTAGTCATTTAGCTTGAACGGAGCAGCTTTTGACTAAAACTCCTAAGACTCACAGGTTTACATTTTCTGAAAGCTTTAGATACATTGGGGCTGAACATCAAGATCAGATTGCAATGGGAGATCAACTAAGATTTGTTTGCTAATCTCTTCAAAATTGACTTAACTGACACTTTCGTTGAACTTCATAAACATATTATTGTTGAACATTTAATTCATTTTAAGTTAACCTGTTGATCCAGAAATTCCGTAAAGCAATAGTTTCCCACAAATGTGGATTTATTTGATTTGAAGAGAATGACAAAATCTAATAAAATGCTGACGTAACATGAGCGAAAATAAACTCAAATGATATAAGAAGAAAATTAAACATTCCAAGATAGGTCCCCTGTTAATTCATTCAACTGTTATGAGGTTTGACTGTAAACAGTGATTTTAGTTGTGGTTTCTGAGAGCTGTAGGAGGGAGGAGATATCATTCAGGAGACCAACTGACTAAGCTTCAGTGTAGAACTTTGCGCAGAAGTGCAACACTTCAAGTTGCTACTCTCTGTGTAGCATAGGAAGGTAGAAAAAAGAAAGGAAAGAGATTTCAAAGAACTAGAAGGAGCAGAAATGTACGGTAAAAAGGAAGAATAATAACATGGAAAAACAAGAAGGTTTAATGGATAAGGGAGATCGTAAAGTGATCTTGAACCATATCACCAATAGTCTCCAATCATCGGTTCTTAGAATCCCGAGGACCCTAACTAGACAGTCTTCACCTCCCTGTGTGGCTGAAACTAACTTTGATTTGAGTACTTGTAGCTCTCTCTCTCTTTTCCAACCTAATCCTATGTCGGCTAACACTGCTTGTCAAGAAATGCAGTGACTTGACGTGCACAACAATGCCTGCTAGCTGTCTCAATCGATATAGTTTCATAACCTCATCAGTTAATTTATCACCACCTTGTTGTATCATTAAATGATAGACTTATTAACTGAAGGACAGTCACAACGTCGAGCACAGCCACAAAAGCCGAAGTGCTATACTTCTGTACAGTAGACTCTGAAGAAAACTGTTAAGCACCATTGTTAAGAAGATATGACATATATGTGATTGCAACTGAATCCGTCGTAAAGTCTAATTATTAAATATCTTCTAATTTTTATTTTCAATTCTTCAACAGCCAAGACAACTGAGAGAATTTTACCTTAAGGAACCTAGGTCCAAGTCTTCCTCCTGTTTATATCCCACCATTTAATAACAACAATTCAGACTGCACCGTTACTGTGAACCGCTTAGCATAGTGGGCACATTGCAAACTTGACTCATAAAATTCAGTCTGCACCACACAAAGGGCCAGGTGCATGACACTAGTTACTAAGTGGTATCTAATCAAAGTGTTCTATACAGTCTTACAGGAGGTCAGTCACAAGCCCGAATAGTTCAGTGTTAACGTCTCTGACTGCCCCACTGGGTGGGTGACACGGATTTGAATCTCAGAGGAGACATGAGTTCCTTCAAGACTGCAGGTATGCCTTGCTGACTGATGAGTGCCAACAAGCGTGAGACCTACGTCAAGCAAGGCTTCCTGTCGGTTGCCTCCAACAATTTAATCACAACAATTCAATGAATACATTCTGTATTCCCCGAGGCTGTGTTACGAATAGATTTCTACAGATTATTTTCACATATATTGATCTGTTATCTTCTAGTCTTGTTTAGACAATAATTATATTTATGTAAGCGCATTTTCATTTTGCTTTTTTATGAAAGATTATAGTCATGAACAGTACAATGAACCACGACGAGTTATGAATACTCCTCTAACGGATGGTTATACTTCACCTCATGAATCACGGATTCCATTAAATCAAGTAAATTTTCATTGCAATTTTTATAAAACATTTGTTTAATGATAATAATTATAATAGTAATTCATGTTTGACCACTGATTGATATCACAGTTAGAAAACCATTTAAAATCAGGGAGCAGTAGACATCTGTTTCGTCCCAGTACTGGACTTATCGAGAGTACGCGCCCGGCTAAAAGGCGACCACTATTCAACCACTGGGACCCAACCCAGTAGCCAACGAATGCCAACTTCTACCAATTCGGGATTGTAGCACCACCACTAGCTAATGTCATCGCCGAGTATTTGCCCTCACTTCTGACCGGATACACCCCCAGTAGTCATGATTAATCACTAGAACTCCAGTGAACTTTATAATGTAGCCAGTCACTCACTAAAGATCATCAGATTAGTTTTCAAAAGTTAATGTTGTGTTGAAAAATTAACAGGATGCATGAATGCAGATATTGAATAATATATTAAACGTTGTAGGTTTTTTTTGTGAACCAGTATAAATTAAAGAATCAACAGAAACCAAGGAACAGTTGTTTGGTCCAAGTTTAGGCTGTTCAGCATCGTGAACCAACCACCTAACCAGAAGTCAAACTGTGAACCTTCAGATTACCAGCTGAATACATTGACTATTTAGCCATTGGGTTGGAATCCAATGACCCATAGATACACACATTTTTGAATAGTCTGAAACTATTGTGAAACAACTATGTCGGTGGGCCTGTTTTGTGAAGAAGGTTAGTTGAAGTTTGACCGCGAAGAATGTTTTCTTCAGTGAGCAGTACAGGCGGTTTCTCAGAATTTTTGCTGCTGAGTGTCCATTGAATTGTAGATTAAGGTAGAAAAGTCTTTTAGGCATAGAAAGTGTGGATGGTCTTAGTGGTTTAGGCTTCATGGATTTTATGATGAAATGCCCCGAGTAACCACTTTCCAGGAGGTTTCTTTTCAGAGTGTGCAGCTTCGCTTCTACCGTATCTGGGATTTAAATGCTGTGGATTCTGTGTCTCAGTGAATGAATCAAGTTCCGTTTTGTATATAAAGGCAGCCAACTATAAAAAAATTTACTGAGTTTTCTGTTGTCGACTTCGTTTAGATGGGTCATTTTAGTGTTCCATCTCGTTCACATTCTGTTAGTTGAACCTTCAGAAAAGATATTTTCGAGTTGGACTCTTTCTCTAATGTGAACTTGATTGCAGCGGGGCGGGGGGAAATAAATACTTTGCAATCCACTAAGTCTTTTAGATCAAATCTCTCTTGTGTGCGTCGGTGGCACAGTGGTTAGGACTGTCGCCGATCATGCACATGGTCAGAGGCTTGATCCCCTGCCGACGCATACCTGATATCTATGGTCGGCCTGCAAAATTTAGGCTACCGATATCACGTGATGAAAATTCCATACTTGTGCCAAAAATACAGTGTGGAATCAAGCTGTAATCAAAAATATTAATCATTTGCAAGTTTATATCTGATTCCCTGATGATTACTCCAATTCACATTCAATATCAGTTTAAATATTTGCTTCTTAAGCTACAAATGTTCTCCACTTTTAAATACCAAATAGTTTTAAAATCTTGAACAAAACATGTCAGCGAATAATATTGCTTTCAATTAGATGTCATCATGCTTAAATTCATTAATTAAACAACATTGCTTTAGAAAGCAAAAAGGATTGAGCGAAGAAATATTTAATTCTCAGGTAGATCCTCATCTCTGGCTCTAATCTAATACATGTATAGCATTTTTATTACGATACATAACAATTTAACAATCCAGTGGCGACATGTTTGTTAACAATAATTAGTCAGTGTCAAAATGTCAATGGGTTGATAATTAACGAAGAAAATCAATGCACATTTAAAAGGTGCAGATGGATAGAATAAATTAATTTTATAAGGATAACGCGTAATCAAAGATGAAGTGGTCAGAAAAAATGAAATAATTTGGACAATTATAAATTTTAAAGGTTTAGGAGGAGGTGGGCGAAGTAGTCCGGTTTATACATTCATGTAACGATGGCCAGGGAAAAGAAAATGACTGTACAAATTTCTTCTGAACACATAGGTTTGGCTTCTTCAGGTGGATTCCTACTGCTTCAGTCGTATGTAGAAGACGAACTTGTAGAGCAAAATTAAGATTAGTAGGAATGCGATAGATAATTTTAAATGCAGTACTAACATCAACCTTATGCTCACTATTTATATGGTTTGCTAAAATAGAGCTACGAATACATCTTGTCTGTTCTTTGCTTAACCATGCTGCAGGATGATGTTCGGTTCATCGTCATGAACCTGTCTAACTGTTCGCCCGATGTATCTGGCTCCTCAACTGCAGTCAGACTGGTAGATACACATAGAGGAGGCAGATTTAGGTGGTTTATCCTTATTTCTCAAACGTAGAATAAGGGTGGTTGTGAAGAGACAACGTATCTCTGCTGCATTAAAGGCTCTTTTGACTGCATTCTTCAGGCGCTGTTACTATTTCGCTGGTGGTGTCACCGAGGAACTTTAGTTTTATGAACACTAGTTTTTCCGGAACTGTTGCCATACTGACTCTCCTTGGTTTTAAATTCACATTTTTCTCAATAAACATATCTAGATAACCATTTTTACTAAGTAATTCTCTCATAACCTTAAGCTCCTCATTGAGGGATTCGTTTGAACAGATGAACCTAGCTCTATGAACCGGAAACTTTACCAAGTCATGTTTATATTTCAAAGGTACAAAACTCAAAAAAAAATGAGTATACTGACCTGTTGTTGTAGGTTTCCTATACACACCCCTTCTTAGTGTGCCATCTTTTTTCCTTACCGGGAAGATGTCTAGCAATGAAATGCTGTCATTACCTTCTTTCTCGATGGTAAAGTTTATTGCTTAATGCGCATCATCAAAAACTTGTCGAGGATGTTCATTGCTTCATTCTCATACATATATCAACAGTAAAAATCTACTTCCTTGTATACTCCTTTCAGCGGTCTATTCTCTAACTTAGAAGGCAAAATATCAGATAGGATTGAACATAGTGTGGGCCCATTGCCATACCATCAATTTGTGTATAGTATCCCTTATTGAAAAAGCAGTGAACATTCTTTGTACATCTTAAAATAAATTCCTTCAAGGAGGATACAGAAATGCCAATGTCTGTGTTTCGCTTAGTAATCTCATTACATGTAAAACCCAATGTCTCATCAATGCTACATTGGTGAACAAGGAGGATACATCGAAAGATGTCATAAACTTTTCATTCACATTAATATCTCTTACCTTTTCGACAAATTCAAAACTATCGTTTACACTGTGTTATACCAACTCGTTATACAGAGGTTTCAGTAACTTCACCGACCATTTTGCTGTTGCGTCATATGGCGAATTACACATGTCCAGCACTGGTTGATGTGGCAAACTATTTCTATGCACTTTTGGTAGTCCCTATAATATGGGTGTAACCTCACCAGTAAGCTCTATATCTTCATATAAGTCTTCTATGATGCTACTATTTTATATAAATAACTTTACGTTTTATAAATCTTAACTATTCTAAATTTATTAAAATTATTATTTCTTAATAATATAAAAGGCAATGAGACATGATAGATACCCACCAGAACATGATCGAATGAATCGTCCCCCAGTTGGAGTAAACAATAGATATCATCAATCTCAATACGATGCTGAAGCGATGGGATCACCAGTGGAGCATGAAGTGAGTACATCAGTATTTGTGTCTGCATTATTTGTTGATTTTATATTTATCATATTTTTTCACACAGTATTTTTAATTCCTGTCTGAAACGTTTTTTTTTCTTTTCATTTCTTTGCCTTCCGAGTGGAATATGGGGCTCCAAGCTTCACTAGCTGTTTTATTGTTCTTTATGGAGGAGACGTTGCTAGCTTCATAACCGACGCTCTCTTTTTTCAAGTGTTGGTTTACAAGGATTTCATCGGTTTCAGGATTCCATCATGAACTGACGTCGGTTATAGAACCATTGGAAAACCTGGGAATACTACACAGCTGTTTCGTCCTAGTTTAGGATTCTCATGCAGTACGCACCCACTGAGATTCGAACCCAGGACCTTTTAGTTACAAGGTGAGCTCGTAGACCATAAAGCCACTTGGACCCGATCCATTTGTTCGAACCTCAGTGGGTGTGTACTGCCGGAGAGTGCTAAATTAGGACGAAACGGCTGTCCAGTACTCAAAGGTTTTCCAGTGGTTCTGTTACCGACGTCACCGGATGAGATTCAGGAGTGTGTCGGCCGGGAATGGAACTTTGACCCCATGTACGATTGGCGGGCATTATACCCCAAATTCCACATCGAAATTAATCCAGTAAAGCCCATAACGTGAATTGTCTAATGATTATATCCAGAATTATGTAAAATTAAAATCGTTAAACTAATTCCATTGGGCCTCTTAGAAAAAATAAATGTGTTGTGCGGAAATTTATGTACCAGAAGATACGTAGCACTCAGGTAATAATGTTGTCAGGATTCTCCATTCATGGGGAAACATTTCTGAAAGTACAGATAAGGATTCCGAGTGGCGGAAAATATGACTTCAAGTTTTGAGTTTCGAAGTTTCAGTAGTGAGGGTGCCGTTTTTACAGAGTGAATTTGCTAGCCCTACACCAAACCTTCCTTCTACTGCACTGGCTAGGAGTTGCACCCTTACCACTCGCATGACTGCAGAGCATTCTACCATTGAAAGATTATAAATATATATAAAATTGCTTAAGGATATTTATTCTTGAACTCTGCTATGTAAAGTTTCATAACTATTTTTTCTTCATTAATTGGTGTAACAGTGGGCTTGATACTCTGAATTGATCAATTTTCAATGTAATATTGTTCTCATCATCACTATTGAATTCGTTTTAATTATCTAAAATTATCATGAACCATTCCAGATGTTTAGTCATTGTATGTTGTTGTTTGTTGTTTTTTTTTATTATTATTGCAGCGCTTTCTTGAGGGTGCAGAATACTCTAGACCGAGACGAAGTCGTCAAGGTTCAATTATGATATAAAACAAACAAATGAATGAAGTGTTTATACCTAATGAGCATAATAATATTTAACTACTTTGATCATATAAAAGAAATAACCTCTGAAACACGGGATATATACATTATATGTGTGATATTAAATTGCCATGTAAAATACTCTTCTTATAAACTAAAGCATTTTTGCATTGCATTCATATTTTTCTCTCATAAATAACAAATAATACTTACACCACCTGCATTCCAAAAAATTTATTTTGTTTTTCTTTTGATTTTACAATTTACTAGAGGTGGTTTTCACTTTTACCCTCTATGAAATATGGACAGACAAAACTTAAATCATGTTCACAAATTAGATTTATAATTTAAATTAAATCTTCTTTTATTCATAACAACATTCCATTGTAGATGATTAATGAACGCTTATTTGTAATAAGTTTTTGAAATGTCTATACTAAATCCATTTTAATTATATAATTATTAGTAATGTTTTGTAATTCCTCTGAACTTTTACACTGATGCACACTACGGATGAGGCCGGGGACAAATTAGATGTGTACTTTTATATTATTGATGGTATTTTAGAGGCTAAGGGTGTTGACGTTCACGGAGAGTACGAAGTATGCTAACGCAAGATCTGATACCCACAACTTCTGTAGTATTCATTCTGCGTAGACCAAAGGCGAAACAAAACACCAGAATTGATCGTCCAAATTACAAATTTATTTCGCGACCAAATCAGAATGCGAGATAATTGCTTAACTGGCTGGGGATCGTGCACGAACGTAACACGATGGCGTCCCAAATGACGTGGATGCTTGACCGGAAGCCTTCAGCTAAGCAAATCGATTAAAACAGTGAGGGTCAGCATCCAGTGTTCAGTGATGAATGCTGTAGCCAATAATTCTGGGGAATTACCTACAACTAATTTCCCCCCCCACACCTTAGTGGGGTTGTGAGGACATTAAGACAAAACCAGCCTTCAACTATCGGTGTAGACGTTCTACCATACCATTAGCTTGAGGATTATAGGCCGTTGTTCTAAAAGGTATGCAACCTATGATTTTAGTCAAGGCAAAATGTAAGCGGCTTTGGAATTGCCTCCCATAATCAGTTATTATGGAGGATGTGCATACAAATTTTGAGATCCATCGTTCGACAAACACATGTGAGACTATTTCAGCAGTTCACGGTGTAATACAGTAGATGCATGTAAAGATATAAGTATATCCATGAGATACTGGAAGGGGTCCAACCAAATCTACATAAACGTATTCGAAGCAAGCGTCAGGGATAAGAAAGGTGCCAAGAGGGCTTTCGACGTGTCTCTTCTCCTTGCACTTTTGGCAAGCTAAGCACGTATGAGCCTATTCCTTTACCTCTTTATCAATGCCAGACCAACAAAACCTACTAGTAATGAACTTCATGGTAGTTCGAATAACTGGGTGGGATAAGCCATGTAACGTGTTGAAGACGCTACGGCAATAACTTTTAGGGACGATGGGGTGAGGAGTACCCGTGGAAATGTCACATAGAATAGTGTCTCTTCCCATATCTACGGGTTTCCCGGCTAACTGCAGGCAACTCGTGCTGGAGCTCGGTATCTTATTTTGAAGACAAGCCAGTTTCACAAGGTCGATTTGGGTGAGGGAACAAACGCGTGACAAGGCATCTGCCACAGTGTTGTTCACTCCGGACACATGACGAATATCTGATGTAAACTGTGAAACGTAGTCCAGATATCGTGATTCTCTAGCGAAAATTCATCTGAAGTTAATTTCAGAGAGTTAGTCAGACGTTTATGGTCAGTGAAAACTATAAATTCACTACCCTTCACTGAAAGTTGAAAAAGACGTATAACACAGTACATTGCCAGAAGTTCTCCACCGAATGTGCTGTACTTCGTTTCTGCTAATTTTAGACGCTTCGAGAAGAAAGGCGAGTGGTTGCCACTCTCTACTAACTGGTTGTTGCAGAACTGCGCCCATTACAGCGTCTGATGCATCGACCGAGATACTCAACGATGCCTTTGGATCCTGATATTTAAGAAGTGTGGCATCCGCAATAGCTTTTTAGCCTGGGTGAAAGCATTTTGAGCAGACGCGTCAAGTTCGATGAACTTGTTATTCCCTCGAAGAAGGTCTATTAGTGGCCGAATCAGGGAAGCACAATTTGGAATAAACCGTCGGTGATAACTTACCAAGGTGCTCAGACTTTTCACTGTATGTGGCTCTGAAGAGTTCAGTATCGCCTCAACTTTACTACCAGTGGACAAATACCCTTGCAGTCAATGTTGTGGCTGGGAAAGTCGCGTGAGTCAAGGCCTATTTGACACTTTTGAATAATAATGGTTACACCATGTATGCGTAAACTTTCAAATGCCGAATCCAAGCGTCTTAGGTGAGTTTCCTTGTCTGAGCTAGCAATGAGGCAGTCGTTTAAGTATGCACATACAAAGTCGAGACCGCGAAATACTTAGTCGATGAAGCGTTGGAATGTTTGTGCTGCATTCTGGAGACGGAATGGGATACGTAAAAATTCAAAAAGTCAGAAGGAGATAATGATAGCTGTTTTCGGAATATCTTCTGGTTTCATCGGATTTGGCTGTACGTTTTAACTAATCCTATCTTCGAGAATATTGTTGTGCTAGATAATGTTGCCGTCAAATCGTGTATGTGAGGCAATGGTTGGTAACCAGATGCTGTTTTGGCATTCACTGTCTGGTAATCACCAGTGAGTCAACAATCGTTGCTATCTTTTTTCAGTACCATATCCATTGAGAGTGCCCATGGACTATTCGATGGCCGAATGATGCCAAGGGTGGGCGTATGGTCGAACTCGTTTCTAGCGGGTCTCAGTTTGTCAGGAGCAAGTCGTCGTGATTTAGATGTCACGGGTTGGCCTGAGGTTATGATGTGATGCATTACATTGTTGGTTGTGCACGATAGTTCGTTAGACGGGTAATTAAGTTTCTGGTGCTTATCAAGAATCGGTTGAAAACGTGGATCAAGGGTTGCCTTCGTCTTAACGAGTGACAAGCTGTGGCTTAAGCAGGTGATACTGTTAATAGACAGTCTAGGAGTACCGTCTATCAGTCGTTTTCGGCATCAACGAGTAAATCGTGATGGTTAATTGGGTCCGTGTGAGTGATGGGCATTTTGGCGTCAGCGAGAAGGAAATTCCACTGAATGGGTTTGTGTAAAACCACGCTCATACAAACGTATTCGCCGCCAAAAGTTGCAATTGGTTTTCAATTCGCAGCCGGTAAGTTGAAGGTAGGTTCCATCTGTCAGTCTGCCCCACTAGAAGGGAGGATGGTGACTTCGGAGCCTGTATCAACTAAGTATTAGTGGTAGTTGACTACATCACGGATGTAAAGTAGGTGGCTACTGTCTTTGGCGACGGTTGCCGTCAACGCGTGGAGCGGGATAGTTTCCCGAAGTCTTCGAGACATTGGAGAAATGACAAGGTTTTCTAAAACATTTCGCTTCCTGACATAGGTATTTTGATGCCAATCCCAATCAGGGATTTTTGGTGAACATGGTTTGGATTTGGACCGACTACAAGAGTTTCGCCGTTGAGGGGAGTTCGGAGGGCGATAGGAAGAAATACAGGGAATATTTGACCTAAGTAGCTGCTGGACAGAGTTACATAACTCTATCACCGCAATGTCCCTACTCGAAGTCTGTTCGACAACTGAGCATCTTTCACTGACTGGCCGTTTTTTATTTATAGTATGCTGTTGGCAGAAGTAGCCAAGTCGTCTGTAATAACACCTTGAAGGGTCACCAGCACAGCCTATACTAACTATGGCAGTTTGGATAAGAACAGTTCTCTGAAAAGTCCCTCATTGGACTGACGTTGACCAATAACTTCTTGCATATGCACAGAAGACTTATCACCTAACTCGACGTTTCGAAATAGTTCGTCAAGACTCTGTCTATCCGTGAGGACGTTTCTCTTTAGGTGGCTTGCTTCAAGCAACTCATACGAGTTACCTAACTATGGGCTCGACATATGCACAGTTATGCACTTGCTTAATTTTCGCTGTAGGGCATGGACAACTGCAAGGAAATGTGAACATCGGTCGTTTAATCCGTGTTCACTGAGATCAGACTCAGCTATCTGAAACCACGGTTCTACATTGACTGGCCCAAATGGCACGAGCTGAATAGTTTTGCTAGTTGATCGAACACGGATGAGTATAGACGAATGATCACTCATGGAAAAATTTATAGTACAGGAACAAACACAAAATGGAAAGAACTCATCAGAATTGTCTGGGTACACCAGAATTAAACGTCTGATTTACGAATTATATTTTGGGACCAAATCGGAGTGTGAGATGACTGCTTAACTCTCTGGGGATCGCGCACGAACGTAACACGACGGAGTTCCAGATAATGTGGATGCTTGGCTGTCAGGCTTCTGCTAAACAAGTTGACTTGAACAGTGAGAGTCAGCATCCAATGTTCAGTGATGAATGCTGTAGCCAATGATTCTGGGGAATAACGTACCATTATGATAGGGTAACACACTCGGAAGTCCAGAAGTACTTCATGGCTCTGGAGTACTTGTTCTCCTATAGAGTCATTCGCTCATACAACTGACTCCCAGAAAGAGTTGTGTCATTTTCCCCCTGCGACTGGTTCAAGAAAGACTTAGGCAAGTGTTGGAAAGGGGTCAACAGGAATTTCAAGCATTCTATCCTCATAAGTATTTCTGGATGATAGTATTATAATTAACAGTCATAGGTCATTGTACACAAAGAATGCATGGGTTCGCAGTGTGAATTGCAGTTCGTATGAGGCTGTTTATGTGGAAGTTGCGTTCCTGAAACACTACCTTTGAATAAGGCTATCATTGGTCGCCTCACCTTAGTTCCATTGAGTATATAGCGCTAGATTTATGTTGTACGTTACGTCTCGTGGTTGGTAAGGTTTGTATTGGATTGTCAGCATTACTAAGTTACTCAATATTGTGGTGAATTAATAATTATGTATTCACGTCGATATGTTGCTGTATATACATACAATTTTAATGACCTAGAGAGCAAGCTTAATTAAATATCTAGTCTTATATTAAGTGAAGGCTTCGGGGAAATGTTCCAGTTTCCGGGGGAAATTTGAGGGTTTTGGGTCCTCTTGAGGATAGTATCGAAAGGACAACAATTTTTAACACCGCACATTTTTCCCTGAAACCCCAAAAATATGTTAATTGGAATATTTTAAGAATATTTTAAAGTATTATGTACATTAGTATACTTATATATGTTCCTAGATATGATACTTTTAGTATTTCTACATTTAGGTCAAGTAAGGCAACCGTTTGAAATATTCCCATAGTAATTAAACTTTCAAGTATAATATTTACAACCAAAGTTGTTTTTAATCTAGTTTCTCTGCTGTTTAGGTAGCTGAAACGCTTTTTTTCTGCAAGACGTGACAAGAAGTAGTATTTTTAAAATTGAGAAAACTGGAAATACATTATATTATTTAGTGCTTTCAAGCGAAACAAGATTTTGCATAGAAAAGGCATGATAAGTTATCTATTTAATTACCAAAGAAATTTCTCCTAGTCCATACATGGACAAAGTACCCACTAGATTCTTAACACATTGAACCCTGAAACTTAGGAAGAGTATATATACAAGTAGAGAACAAATGTGTTGTCGCTGCAACCTATTGCATAAGAGGACAGAATAGTCGAGTAGAGGTTATTAAACAGTTTTATGGTCTTGACTGATGTCTACATCCTATTCAGGCTGGGGTTTAACTACCCAATGACATGATCTTCCAGTTTTCAGTCAGTTGGTCCAATATTTGAATCCTTATCCACCAACTTCAACCCAGGCAACCATGTAGTATCGTTAGCGTCCACAAAATAAATGTGGCTCATGATCTAGCGCATAGATATGTCCTGCTTGGTTGTTTAAACAACTTTAGTGATGAGCATGTATCTGTTAACTGAAACTCTTGCCCATTGCTTCATCTGCCTCTTATAACGACTTTTTGAAGTTCCATCCCACCGGTGATATCGTCCTCTTCAGGATCAGATCTCCCTGTGCTCCTGGAAGTGTGAGTGGTTGTCTTTTCCAGGTTGCCCACCTCACGGAAGTTGATTTTTTCTTGGGGCACCAGAAACAAAATTAGCGTTGCTTGACCGCAGAGCACAGGGGACAACTGCTTGAAGCCGATGATATGCGGCCTGTTTGATTTGGTTTTTATGGATGTTTCCGTACTAATAACTTACCGCCGACTACGAACCATGGTAGGTTGAGTCGGGATGTACGATTTTCGGGGTCAACCTTTTCCAAACCTCCCTGGGAGAAACACCTTACTACCGTTACACCTCTGTTACCCAGCAGTACGACTTTACCGACAGACACAAAATAGTGTAAACATATTACACTATGTCGGTAACTGCTCAGTCTGATTGCTATCCTAACAACCTTTCTGGTATGATAGAACCTTCCGAGATTCTGCTTCCAACCAGTGTAGCTTGTTGGGTCATTGCAGTATGCAGTGTCTTTGATTAAATAGGGAGTGAGGTGGTAAAGCGTGTTGATCACTTCACTTATTTTGGAATTTTCATCGGCCTCAACGGGTTGATCACCGACGAAATATCATCTCGAGTACAGAAGGCACGTGTGACTTATGCCAGTTTACGCCGTCTCTGGCGTAGACTTAATATCCGGGCATCGACCAAAGGGCTTGCGTCCTGCTCCACATTTCCCTCTATACTCCTCTATAGCTGCGAGACCTGGCAATTGAGAGTGGAGGATATGAAAAGGCTAGTTATCTTTGATCATAGGTGCCTGCGTTCTATCTCCCGTGTTAAGTGAGGGTGAGCAATATTGAGGTTAGGTGTCAAGTGCTAGGTAAGGACGCAAAACCAATCGATGAGGCTATGAAGTTACATCGATTGGGATGGTTAGGACATGTGATAAGCATGCCAAACCACCATCGCCTTCCTCGACCAACGGGCAATGCTAGCTGACATAAGATCAGGTTGGAGAATAGTTAGCTAGTGATAGCCAAACCAAGACATGGCTTCATCAGTCAATGAAATCCACAACTGTCAGTTCAAACCACGTAGGAAGGTGTGGACTTCCCGGCTGTTTGGAGTCTTCGGGACTGTAAACACCAATGGCTGGAGACAATTCGTGTTATGGCTCAAAATCCTTCTCAATGGCTAGCGCAGATGCATTCACTCTTTGTGATTTATCATATCCGATAAGACTGTTGTTCTTCGATATTACTATTCTTTTTGCCTGATATTTCTGTTTGTTATCTCTCTTTACTGTCTTCACTTGCTTTGTGTGCTACACTACATGGAATGTGACAACTCGAACTGGTGCACATCTGTGCAAAGTTCTGTGTGGAAACCAGTCAATCAGCTGTTTTTGATTATAAGTGTTTGGATTTTATCTTCCATGTTAGGTGGTTAATAGGGTGAATAATATCTATGATGGGCGTTGATTGTTAGGTGAGAAGGGAAAATCTATCGATGAGGTTGTGAAGCTACATCGATTGAAATGGCCAGAACGTGTGGTACTCATGCTTACCCGTCACCTTCCTCGACGGGCATATTTAGCTGCCATCGGATCAAGTTGGGAAAGAGCTGGTGGTTATCGAACCAAAACTTGCAATCAGTCCATGAAATCTTTAACATTTAGTCTGAGCCGCGTAGGACGGTGTAGGCTTCCTGGCTGGAGTCCTTGGGATGATAATAACAAATAGCTTGAGACAATTGGTGTAACTCAAAATCGTTTTCAATGGCACAAACGTTTTCACTATGTGGTCTACCATATCTAATTAAAGCCTATCGTTTTTTCCAGTTGCTATTCTTTCCTTCACCATACATTTCTCCTCCTTATAACTTCTTAAAGTTTTTTTCTCTACTTTTGTATGCTACATGGAGTGTGGTGAGTTGAACGGTGGTACTTCTATGCAATGTTCTCTGTTGAAACCAGTCTGTCAGCCAACAGCGTTCACTCATGTTTCAAATCGTTTCCCTAGAGAGTATATTGCTTGCGCTTTCACTGACTGCCATTGTCAGCAGTCTTAAAGAAGACTCATCTGACATATAATTAGTTGTTACTCATATTCAAAGCCCTCCGGGATCATTATTCTTGTTAATCAGTTTGGTTGAAACTGTATAAAACAAGTACCATTTTTTATCTTATTGCTGTTTAACCAAACTTTCTGGCGAAGTCATAGCTGCTAATCCATTTGAGTACACACGTGCTTTGATTATCAGTCGGTTACCATATTTACGTCAGAGATGACGAAAGTTGACAAATGACACATATCCTTTTTTCGCGCTGAGATTTTTTCAGCCTTCAGTCCATTAAGGCTGGAGCAACCTCCTAAATATTTAAAGTGATTATGAACACAAAGAGGTCTCTTTTCCTAACTTCGCAGCTATACAGTTTAGGGGGTTTATAAATACAATATTAATTTACAACAAATGTCATGATTCTGCTTAGCTCGGTACTACTTGCAAACTTTGAACTGATTGTTTGTGGATTGGAAGATATGGGACTCAAGATACGCTAAAAAGCAATCAGTGAGTAATAAACCGAATGGACAGTCCATCGCTATTCCATATTTCCGTTGGTATATTTTGAATAAAAACTGGATATTTAATGTGAATCTCAGTATTAGCTCTTTGATACACTTTTTGGGCATACCAACATCTAGATTATTTTAGTCGATAAACTCACTTAAGTAGCACATGGTTTCCGTCAAGGACACATTGGTGAATAGGGAATTTACGTTCATTCAAAGCATAAGTGATCCGAATACTTTCACTTGACTTACCGAACCCAGGAATATAAACGTATCTTTCAAGAAACGCTTAGCCACTAGCATTCTCACAGCCTCTAAAATTTTTGCCAACCATCGTGCTACAGGATGGTAGGGTGATCTGAAGTTGTTAAGACTAGGAACATGTGTAACCCATCTTTGTGAATATTTTGGAAGTCAAGTGAGCGCGAAACTGTTGAACTAGACGGATGAATTATTTATCAAAAGATATAAATCTTTTGATTTATAATCTGATCTAATTCTCAAATGAGATTGTGGAAAAAGGTAACAGTGCACAAAGCAAAACGCAGTTAACAAAAGTCTTCTGAAAAGTGAAACAGGATTCACCATCAGCCAAGGTAAAATGGACAGCTGAAAAAGCTTCTTTTTGTCCCAATAATCCGAAGAAGAAATTTCATTGGTCCTCTTTCGACCAGAGTCTATCACACATACGCTGAAGATACATTAGAGTTGGAATCCCTACAGAAAATGGTAATCAAAAGTGGATATCCAACCTCTTTTATCGACCAATAATTATTTATCACTTAACCACTTAATTTCCAACCCTGTAGATTAGTTACTATACTAGTTTCTTTCTTCTGAACTACCCTTGTTTGAAAAACCGTGTCTTTTGTAAGCAACTATGTATAGGCCCCAATTCACTTCCGCATTTAAGGAGGTACCGTAACGCAAAGGCATTTCGACTATTCCTAATCCCTTTTTTAGCTCTCATTTCTGAATTTTAGTCTTACCTTTACCTTTTAGATAATTCTAGAAATCAAAGAATACCACACGTCCTCCGAGCGCTTTACAGTTGCCTTTTGATTAGTTACTTCATAACATAACGTATATCGTGATACTTAAACAATGGCCAAAAGTATGAGAAGCAAGTCGAAGCGTCGGTTTCGAGCGATAAAACGCAAAAGAAGCTTCAAAAAACTGAAAGAACACTTGTTGGAGCTGACCAAAAGTGACGATAACAAAGTGCCTTCGGAACAAGAGGAAAACTGTATTGAAATGCAAAGTAAGACCTGTGCATTTTCATTTCTAACTCTCTCTCCTAGGTGTTCCAAAAAAGCTACCAAAAATATTATGCAATGAACATGGAACCTATCCAGTTTGGCTTAGCAAAAAGGAGCGTAAAACACAAATCAGACTAAAAAGGCTTCAAAAAAAAAACTCACGGTCTAAAAAGTGCAAACTGTAAATAAATGTTTCCTCTGCTTATTTTATCTTTAAAAATATGTACCTTGAACTTTTCTGAAGTCGTGTACACGAAGAGTTTACAGCTAAAGTTTATTTGCAACTCCAAAGATAACACTACTATAATCAATGAGTTAGGGTCGAATGACGCTGAACATCGTCGAAAGCTAGAACAATCGGCTGTACAAAAAGCTTCCAAATCGAAGAATATTACGATTCGATGAGAGTTTAGAGCCTAAACCTTTCTGTTCATGAGAATAACTAAGTAGCCCGACAACCTTGAGGGTAATTAAGATTACAGCAATTAGGTAATCGAAACGACTTCCTTCATAGCTGATCACTGCTGTACGTGATCACCCTAAGTAATATTGAACGGTGTTTAGATCGATTTCCAAAAGCCACGTCTATCAAACACAAAGAATTAAATGTTATAGATATGTAAATGAGGCACTACTGAGGTTGTAGTGAGAAGTCAGGCCCACCATATCAAGATGAAGTGATTGCTCATCAAAGGCACTAGTGAGGGTAGCATTACATCACGAATTTACGATGTTAGAATTCACGAGTCACTGAATGCCTGTCCAAGTTGCTAAATGATCGACGAGCTTGCTCTTTGCAACCTGAAGGTCCAGAGTTCGATCCTTGATGGAGTCATGGGTGTTGCTGCACTGCTGTAGAGTCTCAACATAGGATGAAATAGATGTTCAATGCTTAATGGTTTCCAGTTCTCTCAAAATGATGTTGGTTCATGACGAAATCTAACAACTGGGATTAAATTTATCCATATCATATAATCTAAAAATGAGAACTGTCTGCTGGCTCAACAAGACGACAATCTAATTACATGTAAGACATCTGTCAGTAAAGCTGGTTCATAGTTCACTGTATTCTTCACCATACAAAGAGAAATGAGATGCGGTAGAAATACAATCGATTTGTGTGCGTCGGTGGCACAGTGGTTAGGACTCTCGCCGACCATTGACATGGTCCGAGGTTCGATCCCCTGCCGACGCACACCTGATATCTACGGTCGCCCTGCAAAATTTGGGCTACCGATATCCATATTGAAAACTCCATACTTGTACCAAAAATACAGTGTGGGATCAAGCTGTAATCAAAAATTAATTATTATTATTCCCTTGGGTTCCGAGTAGAACAAAGGGCTTCAACAACAAATCTCCACTTTGTTCTACTTTCTGCTGTCCTTTTCATCTGGGTGCACGTTCGCCCATAATCTCGCACTTCTCCATGTCACCCTCGAACCGACGATCCACTCATTGCTTCCCATTGGGATTCAATTCGAGGGCTAGCCTGGCGCGCCATGTCATTCGTTGGCCTCCTCAACGAATGTCCAATCCATCTCTATTTGTTGAACAATTGGCTGTTGGTTTGTTCCCAGCCAGAGTTTCTTGTTGCTAATTCTTTCTGGTCATTTGGCCAATCGAACCTTATATAAAGTAAACTTCGGATCGATGGGTTAAGCGTACGAAACATGTAGCCGGAAGTGGATTCCCAATGATATGCGTTAATTTCCATCAATTAGTTCACATAGTAAGGTTTCTTGAGAATATTTACAGTAATTCATGAATAATCCCCATCCAGACATTATTGAAAACAAAACACGTAGTGTAGCGAAGAGTCTCTTTTCACTTAGCTGTGCATTCACAATTATATTTTCGTTATTTTTGTATGTGTGTACATTACGTTTGTCAGACAAGAATAAAAATTGGTAAGGGGGTAAAGATTAGTAATAGAGTAGTGCTAATGAGTCATCAAAAATAACATGGTTGTTAATGTTATTCAATGCATATAAGAAGTTGCGCAGTAAGATGAATAGTTCAGTGAATGAGTTTTCATTAGGATGTATAAAGAAATGAAAGAAATATGGAATTATGTAAGAGTTGTAAAGAAATACAAGAGTTATAAGGAATTAGAAAATCGAGCACACAAACATCAAGTTAGTAGAAATCAACACGGTTGTTGCCATAAAAGTAGGAGTGAATAAATGATTCTCTTTTGTATACACTAACTGGTTTTCCAACTGAATGGCTAAAGTTTCAGCAATACAACAAAGGAGACGAGAGCGTATTGTCTTTGGTAGGTTGTTCTTGACTCTGTAAATTAGTCAGAAGGAGGCGTAAATCATTCAAGTGCCTAACGCTCGGAGTTCAATAACCTGCTAACTTTTGATCTATGTTATTTGGCGCGATCAAACCTTTGTCAACACACAATAGTGAAAATTCATTGCTCACGAGCATCAAAACCACTTGAGAATAACAGTTTGGCGAATGAGCTAAGATTCATAGTCCATTTAGAGTTTGATTTTGGTTAGCTGACTTGTTTAGTAGTTACGTTAACAACTTCGACGTCTTGACCTATGTACTTTCACCAAGTTGCTTCCGTAATCCGTTTCTATTTTAAACTTGATAAACAAGCATAACTGCATTAAAATTATTATACTTGTATAAATATTCCCCTGACGAGTTGTCACACTCCATTTAGCATACGAAAGAGAAAAAATGAGGTTCGGATACCAAGCAGACATGTGAGGAAGAAAGGACAGTAATATAGAAAAACAATAGTCTTATTGTATATGGTAAATCACAAGCAGTGAATACGTCTGCACCATTAAGGACAATTTTGAGCCATACTGCCCATAGTCTCTAGTCATTAGTTCTTACCATGCTGAGGAACTCAACCAGGAAGTCTACACCGTCCTACGTGGCTCAGACTATAACAGTCAAAGATTTCATGGTCTGATTCCAAGTTTTGGTTTGACCACCACTAGCTCTTTTGCAACCTGATATGCGTAACACATGACCTAACCATCTCAATCGGTGTAACTTCATAGCCTCATCGATCAACCTTCTATAACATTGTACGCCTAGCCTTAATATTACTCACCATGTTATAACAGCTAATATGGGCAACAGCACGCAGGTACCTATAGTCAAAGACAGATAAAAAATTCTAGTTCTCCACTTTGTACGGAATAGACTGCTGTGCAGTTCATGGGTGCTTTGATCGATAGCCGGATATCACGTCTACATCAGCATTCCCTTGAGTTAAACAACTCTTGAACAAATGAAGCAGTAGCATAGCTATAGATACTACCACCTATCGTATTTCTAAACAACTGACTGGTCCGGATGAATTTCCGGTAGCTTATCACAATAATTCAATCGCTTTACACAATTTTTCAATGGAACAAGAATGGAGAATCATTTTCAAATGAATGGGACCAAAATTTTCTTTACATATATATTCCGCTCTATGAATTTGAATAAAGCAAGAACAACAGTTTGTCCAGAATAAGATGGTAACATCACTGCTTATATCATTGGCTTTCCATCGTCCGCGTACAGCCTGAATCATTAATTGGTTTATGTACAGAACATTTTAACATGCAAATGTTACATAGTGTTAGTTGACAAAAGGCTCCAAACTTAAAGAATAGTGCTCAGAAAATTACACTAATGTAGTTTTTTTTACCTACAGAGTTCAAGTTTAAACGAAAATCAATCTATGCATACAAGGTTAAAGCAGTTCCGTAAAAAAAACAAGTTGTAAGTAAGACGATGAGTAGCTAACAAATTGAGTAACAATGATGTGAGCCCAACTGGAATCATAGACACAAGCAAGGTTACACCATACCAAAGGGGCGTTAGGTTAAAGCCTGGGATTGCGTGACCACACGGATGAGGGTATAGACAACCATGGCAAGGAGGGACTAATAACTGCTTCTTTTTGAACATATAATTAGGGTTTCAGGCATTGGATAGAGACTGAGTCAACAAACTTGAGAGCTGAACTGTTTTGTTTATTAATAACTTTAAGGGATTTCGCGACTTTCACTTCATGACCCATATTGATGAGAAGGATGTCTTGAAGTGGCAATATTTTAAATGCTTGCTCCCTTGAGAAGTAGGCTTTTTGGCACATGTTCAAAAAATTGAAGGTGCACCCTTCTTTCTCTTCTTCTAATGTAACTGCTACCACAGACACACGTGAATTTGTATACACATTTTGAGTTAATATGAGAAGGGTATATGTTGACCTATGATTACACCAAGGGGCATGTACTCCGATAAACAGCAGCCAACTTAGCTTCAGGATAGGTTCTTCTCAGTGAGATATTCAATCTTCGGTTTGCTATTCCTGCAGCATTGCCACCTTTAAAATAGAGTTGAATGAAGATAGGCTATTTTCCCATTGTGATTTGTCTCATGTTTGGAGCCTTCACATCTTCCATATTTGTTCATGAATCTCAAGGTAACTGTTGTTTTTCAACATCTTTTCGAGAATCATAAATCCCTCCTCTAATTTTTTTTCTATACAACACATTCTCCTGATTCTATAAAACAGTTTTGACTAGTGTTTGTTTATAGTTATTTGGATAAAAAATGCAAGTATTGTCAATTCCATGCAGGCTTCCAGTAAATTGACCTCTGGAGACTACCATCTTCCAGACGTTGCATGGCGATGCCAAGCAAATGGAACTTTCCATCATTCTCAAGTTCCGTAGTAAATTCAATATTTGTATGTAGGTCGTTGAATAATCTGAGTAGGTGGGAAGCATGACTTTCATTGCTGCACACTGAAAATTTGTCATTGATAATAAGTTGTTTCGCCGATTTCATGCTTAAACTTTGTTCTTTCAAGGTCAAGCTAACTCTTCTCCAACCTGATCTTATGTCAGCTAACATTGCCTGGCAGTCGAGGAAGGCGATGGTGGTTGGGCATGCTTAACACATGTCCTAACCATCTCAATAGGTGTAACTTCATAACTTCGTCTGTTGATTCTCCCTCCTTACCTAGCACTCGATCCATCCCTCACCTCAATACTGCTCACACTATTATACCACTTCATACGGGAGATAGGACGCAAGCACCTATGGTCAAAGACAGCTAGCCTCTTCGTATCTTCCACTTTTAATGGCCAGCTCTCACAGCCATAAAGGAGGACAGAGGGGACTGTTGAGTAGTACACACGCCCTTTGATCGATAGCCGGATATCATGTCCACACCAGAGATGGTGCCTA